ACGATTGTATGAAGAGAAAGAAATAATTTGGAGTCCCAAAATATGTTATCTAGCCAAATGATGCTAGTAAAATTATAGGTTATAAGTTCGTGATCTTTGAATTAATATTAATAGTTGGATGTGTAGAAATCCAAAACCAAATATTTGTAGTAGAAGAGAAATTAGGGCAAAATGCTTTGTATTTGAGAGCTACAAAAATCCTCAAATTCTACTATTTTGTTTGTTATATTCTCGTTACGAGAGAGTCGAGAGAGAAAGCTTTTATATCAACATTAGCTACTAACCAACTCACTCTAACAGCTAACTAATCCATTAATAACTTAAATTAACTAACTTTACTAACTAACCTCCATTTGCTATATATTCACTATAATGCCACCCTATACATTTCAACATTCCTCCTCGAGTGGGAGTTTACAACAGGTTGCAAATACCTAACTTGCTAAGGAAAGATTGAAGCCGAGTTTTACTAAGAGCTTTGGTAAACAAATTAGCAAACTATAATTGAGTAGGAAGATAATGAGGAGCAATCATCTCCAGCTATAACTTTTCACGAACTAGATGACAATCAAGTTCAATATGCTTCATGCATTCATGATATACTAGATTGGAGGTAATGTGCAATGCCGCTCGATTGTCACAAGCCAAAGGCAATAGAGTCAAGTTAGTCACTCGCAGCTTCAGTCAACGGAATCAAAATCTAAGTCGAGTTTATAATAAATTGATGCCATTGCCCTATACTCGCATTCGACTAAGAACTTGGATACAATGTGTTGTTTCTTGTTTTTTTCAAGAAAGAAGATCTCCTCCCAATTTGATATAATAGTCGAGTGATGGATCTTCTAGTCATGGGGCAAGCGACCCAATCAACATCATAAAAGGATGTCAAACTCAAGTCCTAAGCTATTGGGAAGAACAAACCTTGTGCCACCGTGATAGATTTGGATCTCCTTCTCTTGGTTTTGGAATATCACCATTGATAAATCTAAGATTGTTCCCGTAGGCGAGAGCAATCTCCTTAGATTTTCTCCGTGGAATGTAATTTGAAGCTCCTATCAAAGGCTAGCTCATAAGAACCATTCTAGGTACATCCGAGCTCGATAACTATAAAGGATTGGAAGTCGTTACTTGAAGTGTCGAGACATCACCATTCGTATTTGTCATAATCACAATGTAGAATCACGGATCATTTATCTTTGATACCATGTAAAAATCCGGAACCAAATATCCGCAGTAGAAGAGAAATAAGAAGAAGAGAATTGAGAGCTATGAAAATCCCTAAATTTTACTCGTTTTATTTGTTATATTCTCGTTATAGAGAGAGCCGAGAAAGAGAGCTTGTATACCGAGCATTAGCTACTAACTAACTCACTCTAACAGCCTAACTAATCCATTAACAACTTAAATTATCTAACTTTACTAACTAACCTCCATTTCCCATGTATTCATTAACATGTCACCCTATATATTTTAACAGGATGACTTCTAATTAAGGTTGATTGTGTGGTTGATAAATTCATCGTGTAATAGATTGGTGACGAGTAATTGCAAAATAAGTTTTTTCTTAATGTTTGAAAGACCTTTCGATATCTAAGTTAGCATATATGAAGAGAGGCTTTTGACTTGAGTAAGAGTATTTCGATATCTAAGTTAGCTACTAACTAACTCACTCTAACAACTAACTAATCCACTAACAACTTAAAATTATCCAACTTTACTAACTAACCTCCATTTTTCATATATGCTTTACCATGCCACCCTATATATTTTAATAGGATGATTTCTAATTCGAAGTTGATTGTGTGATTGATAAATTCATCAATAGATTGATGACGAGTAATTGCAAAATAAGTTTTTTCTTAATGTTTAAAAGATCTTTCGATATCTAAGTTAGCATATATAAAGAGAGGCTTTTGACTTGAGTAAGATTATTTTGTTATTAGTAGAAAAAGATATATGATATTATATCAGTTTTAAAGTCGAGGAGGCAAAACATGATGTTGGTTGGTTACCAAAAAAAAAAAAAATTGGAATAAGAAAGCGAAATCGAATGAAAATTAGAAAATAATTAAGAATGACTTTTGTATTTTCATACCGTGTTTAAAATACCAATAAGGAATCAGATGAAATATAAATTTTTTAATATCTAATTTTTAATACAAATAAAAATACCGATTAATTTTTTTTATCAACTCGAAATGATAATAAAAATAATAAAAGTGATTGTGATAGTGATTGTGGTAGCAATGAAGTATGAGGGGAATGAAGAGAAGGTAGTAGTAATAACAATATAGTAATAATAATAATATATTATAAAAAAATTAATATTATCACCATAAGAAGTGATGGTAATAGTGTTATAATAAAAGTGATGGTGATAAAAGTGGAGAAAGAGTAGTGATAGAATAATAATAATAATAATAATTTTTTTTTTTTATCACCATCACCAATAGAGATGCACCAATAGAGATGGTAGTGGTGATCTGTGGTGATAGTGGTGGTATAATTATATCATTATTTTGGAAAAAAAAAACTTATTCTCATTTATTGTTTTTATTCTTATCTTTCACATACAAATGATGCTAGATATAATTTTTATTTTCATTTTCACTCTTCATTTCTATTTTTAATTCATCTTTTTTCAACCAAATAACTATAAAATGAGAATAAAACTTTCTTTTTTATTTCTACTACTCCATTCATAATAACCAAACAACAGCGTAACACTTGAAATGTTAACCTTTTTATAGTTCATATATGAATTAACAAGCAACGTTTTATTAATTAAGCAATAGAAACAGCACACCGGCCGGAACATAATCCCACTGAGTATCGTGATGTTTGAAGTTAACTTGGAAGCTGATCCTTAGGAGCGGACCTTCAATTATTCCCTATGAGTATAGCAATTAAATATTCTTCCCACTAAATTAGCTAGACGGCATAAAACTGCATGTGCATGGCAACGCTCATGTTAGTCCAATGACCTTGTAGCTTAATTGGCACCCATGGTTCTCCACCCTACAAGTTCTTTGGTTCGAAGGAAAAAGAAAAAAGAAAGAAAAAAACTGTGATCTAAAACTTAATTTGATTAGATAGGATTCGTTAACATACTGCTAGCTAGCTACTTGTTAATTAAGCACGGAATGAACTTGAATGAATAAGCTGATCACTACAATTCACACACTAATTTAATAATTTTCACTACTTAATTACAAGTCTGATATATATATATATATATATAGGGATCGGTGAGGGGAGCATAAAAGTGGTGCCTTATGAAATCACGAGGTTACAATTGATAATATTGAAGACGCAAAAAGTAGTTGCTCTAAAACACAAGTATATTGATCACATTTTATGTACAATTGATAATCCAATTGCAAGGAGCAAAATACCAATTTTTAGTTTGGTATCAGACATGCAAGGCAATATCACTATTGTATATTTATTCTATCTCTATCCTCTAAATTAATAATTGCATACTGTAGCTAGCTACATGGAATTGAAGACTACACAAATTATGCCTTCTCTTTTTGTTTCCACTCCAACCCTATAAACCTGCAGGGAGAGTACCTTATTTTATACTCTGAAATGGTCTCAAGTTTAGGTGACCATGTTTGTTCTTTTGACCCAACCAGCTGTTCATAATGCTTCTTCAGCTCTGGAGTGCTACAAAGAAAACTATTGCTAGGGCTAGTAGAGCCTGCTTGATCTTGATCTCCACCTCTATTTATAAGCCTTGTTATGAATTCTGGCACAACCTTAATCAAAACCCTACCATCTGCATCCTTTATGTAATGGAAAGGAGACTCACCGAAATTAATAGGTGTTCTTTTAGGGCTAGAGCTGAAGGCTGCAAGAGAAGAAGCTGACAAAACATTGCATGCAAATCGATCTAATGGAAGGACAAAGTAGGTTTGGCCTGGCATGAGCTCATCATCAATTGCTAGGGATGGAACAGGACGACCAATGAAGAAAGAATCTGCATGACAAACCATCATGTCTGGATTCTCAAACATGATCTCTCCAGCTATGTGTTTGCAGCTACCTGTTAAGATTCTTGTGGTTCCTTCCCAGAAGATCAGCTTCACTACTGAAGATCTTGAACTTTGATGGAAACATGGAGACACTGCATTTCCCATTTGAAGAGAGATGCACAGAGAGAAATTAATGATGGAGTTTGGACTATTTGATTTTTGAGTTTAATATTTTGGATAGACGAGAAAAGAGAAAGGAGTGGTTAAATATACAAGGGATTAAGGATTGACTTAGAGAAAGTCTAGGTTTGTTTCCTTATGGGGTTTTTGAGTTGAGGGGGTCGGTGGTCAGCCATGACGGCTTTGAACGTCTAAATGTATCATCCCCATTCCTCTCACTTCTTTAATTTAAGGTCTTCTTAAAACTTCCATAAGACATGGTTGTGTATGCAACTTACAACTCATCAAAAAGTCACCCTGGCCAACCTTAAACAGCAAAGTGCATGTAGACTTTAGCAGAATAAACCATAAATTAATTCTAGTCTCCAAAATGGAGTAAATGTCAATTTGCTAGTTCGATCGGGAGTGGTTATTGTATATATTAGTATAAATTTTTTAAGGAGTTGGCACATTTTTCAGCATCGCTTCCATATGTTTCTTCACTCTTTTATATAATATTTGTTTGGACACGTTGGAAATGCAAGTATTTGAGTTGATTTTATTTGGAAAAAAAAAAAAAAACCAGATCTATAATTTTGAGCGAGCGATATAATTTTTTCATAGCATGAAATGAAAAAACAATTTTTCATTTAGGGTTTTTCTCCAAGTTTTTCTCTGTGAAAAAAAAGAAGAAAGATAAAAAAAATACAAAAATTGGAACAACTTACTCACCTATATATCTATATATATTCTTAGGTTAAAAACTCCGTGATGTAGCTAGACCTCGTCTGGCAGCTACAGCGAAACTTCGAACAAACCATGCCTTTCATCATTTATGTGGATGTCCGGTGAATGAGATACATGTCATAACTCGTTACTAATAGCCATGTGAGCTTCATTTCTTTCTTCATAGGGCCAGCCGGGGACCTCCTTCTTTCTCCACAAGGTCATAACTCTATATAGCAGCTGTGTTATTTTTTATATATTGTGCTATAAGATTAAACACATCAAATTATTTGGTAATGAATTGTTGTGTTATATTATTGTGAGTAAAATTAACTGTTTAGTAATCTATTGTTGTGTTATTTGAATTTTACTATAAAAACATAACTTAAACTAAATATTTTGTTTAAAAATTTTAATTGAATTGTTTAAGAAATAAATTCTTTCTTATAAAAAAAATATATCATAAACAACACGAGTAAAATAAAAAAGAAAGAAACAAGAATAAAAAAATTACTTTTTTTTTATAAATAAATAGAACTACAAAATAATTTACTTAAGAAACGTAAAATTGTGTGTTTGTCTATATATATGTTAGGGAAAGAAAGAAAGAAAAATCAAAATATTAATTAGTTTTTTTAAAAAAACGTAAATATATAGAAATATTAAATAACTTAATTAATTAAGAAACAGGGAGTAGTGTGTATATATATATATATATATATATATATATATATATATATATATATATATATATATATATATATATATATATATATAATTTTCCATGATTTTTGAGGTAAAAGTTAATATCCCTTTAATCTACTTATATAAAAATCATCTTCCACTATCAAAAGTTAAACAGCTAACTTTAAAAATTCTCACCAAACACTTTTTTTAAAAATAATTTTAATGTTTTATTTGAAAACAAAACAAGTAAAAACTGGAAAAAGAAAAGAAAAGAAAAGATATATAAGTCAACGCAACCAAACTAATAAATGACTGTAACAACATTTCAGTAAATTTAGCCATCTTAATTGTAAAACTTAGATAGCTATGTATTTTAATTCTGCCACAACAAATGGTAATACATGAAGTTGTTAAACTTCATTGGTTGGATCATAATAATATCTTTAATTAGCTTAGGTAGAGAGATATCCGTGATGGCCATGTGGCTATTGACTGAAATTTCACTACTGGATTTATAGAAAATGCAGCAGCATTTAAGGTCAAATACATCTGTGGTTAGAGCTAATTAGAGTTCAAATAGTGTAACATAAAAATAAAAATTAAAAAGAAGAAGAAGAAGAGTTTTGGGCAGTTCAATTTAACTTTGAGCTATTGGAATTAAGGAAAAAAAATTGTGAACTCTCTATTTCTTTTACTGCGATCTACATGTGATGCCGTTAATGAGAAATTAATTATATATATTTGTATGTCAAGAGTTCTTCAGGTCAAATAAAGCGGTTAATTAAATTGCGTTTAACAAATTAAAAGACATGGATAACTTTTAAACGGTTTTATCACAGTAAAGAACCTTTAACTAAAATCAAACTTGTTTGACGGATCTCAGATTTTCTAAATTTCTTGAGCAATTTGTTCATGGACCTTTGAAATAAGTTTGCATATATGCTTAGCGTAGGAATTCATCCTTGAACATGAAAGAGAAGAAGAGAGAGTTTAGAAACTGACTTTTGCCGTTTCTATGATATGTTCAGCAATATATAATCTCCCCTGCCGCTACATAAGCCATTCAATTACCCCCCAAAAAAAAAAAAAAAAGATTTTTGAATGTTTTTTTAATTAAAAAAAAAAATCACTGTCTTCATCCTATTAAACTCTAGGTTTGTACACAATTCTCAAAAAAAAAAAAAAAAAAAAAAAAAATCTAGCTTTGTACACCGTGAGTTTTACAACTTACGAATTTGATGTATTGCTTAACCTTTTTTTTTTTTTTTCCTAAACGCGATCCTATTTTTATTGGTTTTATTCGAACGAAAATTCAAGAAATTCACATACAAATAGTTAGTAGAGATTTTATTTTTGTTTCTTGTAATTCATCTTATCATAAATTTAATTGAATTTTTTTGATTTGATACTTTATCCATAATCAATCCAACTTTCTGTTATTAATTTTTTTTTTTAATAAGACATCATAACTATGTCTATTGTGCAATTAACCCTACTTGGCTCTCATAAATACTAATGTTTCCTATGCAATGCATGGTAATTAAAATTTACACCCATTTTTCATTGTATATGAAAAAAAAAATGGAAAATTTTCAAGTTACCATTTCAATAATTTGTCGATATCTTTTTTTTTTTTTTTTTTTTGGAATATATACGTTGGGAAAATTAAGTTCATGTAATTTACCAACATCGAGGTTCAATCCTATTACCTAAAAAGTCTAGTGGTCCATATCCTGTATGTGGATGAAATTTCAACAATATTATTATTTTTCATGGAACAATAAATACATCTGACATGTTAGCTCTTCTTTCTGGTAATTGTCGAGACGTGACACATTTAATATTTTGTAATAACTATATAAAAAGCAATCCAAAAGTCAAGCTTATGCTACTTGCCCTTTTGACATTATTGGATTTTTTATTTTTATGAATTATCGGAACGTTGAACAACACATATATGCGGATAAGAAGATTACTTATGCATAATCGTCTTAGATATAAATTAGGATAAATAACTTAATCTATTCTTATATAATAATCTAAGTTTTTAATTTGTTTTTACCTTTCCAATTGCATTTATTTTTTTAAATAATATTTAAATCTATAATTTATTTTTTAATTAATTTTTTCGACTATGAATAAAATTTTTGTTCAAAATATATATATATATAAAAATTACATATAGATAAAAACAATTGATAAAAAATATATTAAAAATTTAAATATTATTTAGAAACATAAAAAATATAGTTAAAAGTATAGAGAAAGATTTGAGACTCAAACTATTATATATAATATATATATATATATATAAAGAATAGATTCTACTATTTATCCTAGACACTATTTCCAATTATTGTCAATTAAACACGATTGAAATACTCTTATTAATCCAACATGTTGTTCTAAAATCAGATTAAAAAAAAAATTCGGATGAAAATCATTGTGAGGAATTGGGTGACAATTGCGTTAGGCATATTGTTGTGGTGCATTGCCATAAGCTACCTTTTTTTTTTTTTTCCTGGTAAACTTAGAGTTGAATGCGTGGAACTCAAAACTTAACTTAGTTTTAACCTTAGTTAACCATACTTCCACAAAGTGGGTTAGCTAGTTCTTATGGTTGGCCAAAACATCAATAATTAACCACAATGCCAACAAAGCTTCGACAGACTAAACATTTGGTGTTGGCAGTCAAACAAGGTTGTTTGGTCACCATCTTCCTCAATATCACTGTCATCTACGGACAATGAGTGGTGCAAATTATCTGCATTTCTTACGCTAACAGTTTCGTTGACTGAACGAAGTTGATTCCTTCTAAATTTTTTGAAAAAAGTTCGAAACTTACAAAGATCAAAGATCATGTCATCACAAGTGACATAAGCCAAATTGGCGTTTACCCAAGATGCATGTAAGGTTCAAAGTTACTTTAGCATTTAAAACATGTGAAGTTGCTATCAAGAGCGTAACTCGTTGTTTAAAATTCTTATTATTGGGTGCCCAGTGCAGGTTGACTTACAAGTTGCAGAAGGAGTAAGTAGAACTTAGAAATGGACTTGCAAGTTGTAGATCATGCATTTCTTGCAACATTTGTTGTGCATTTACGGTCTCTTACATCAGCCAATAGCACTTAGTTTCACGATCACATTGTTTCAAAATTTTATTTGGGACGAAGTTATACGTCTTCCCATCCTATCTAATTTCGATTAAAGTTAATAATCAACTATAATCGTAAAAAATTGATCATAATCAAACCTCAATAAAATCTCAGCCAATTAGCATACACCAAGTGTCTTTTTATACTAACAAATTTTTCTTTTAACAATTTTCAAGCAAAAGCAAAAGAAAGGACCAATTAACTTGGTCACCAGAGAACTTTTTTAAGATTTAATAATTCATTTTATCTTTATATAATAGAATAATAGAATACCGTGACAATTGGTTTTATGACAAAAATTGTCCCAATTATATTGTAATTTAGCAATTTCAATATTTCATTATCATCAATTTACGTAATTTGAATTTCAAAATATTAATTTTTGGATAATTCTTCTACAAATCCGTCAATTGTGACCGTGAATTTTTATGCTTTCTTTTCTATTTTTTTTAATGTTAAATTTTGTTTTCCTTCCTTTTTCAAGATAGATTCTTTCTATTTAAAATTTTTACATATTAATTCTTTTAATTTTTCATAGTTAATCAAATTGTTATTTGTATATAATTTTTTTTAATTTTAAAAAATAATTTTTATGCGATATCATTATCTATTAAAACAATCACTTCTATAATTAATAAAATACAAATATCTATTAGTTGCATTTAATTGATTGAAATTGTCAAATAATTAATTTTAATTGAAACTTTTCTTTTGTCATGCTAATAAATTTATTCTTGTAATTGACAATCATTAAATTTTAAATATCACTGTATTTATTTATTTACTTATTTATTTTTATCTTCTATATGTTTTAGATGATTTTTGCTCACAATTGATTCAAATATATAATATGCATTTAAAATTGTTAGAGTTAGAAAACTATTTTTTTAAAGAGTGTTCAAAAAGTGAAAGCTCTTTTTTGGGGAAAACCAAAAAAAAATACCAATAAATTTAATGAAATTTTTTTTAATTTATAGGTAATTAGATGAAAAAAATATTTCTCTTGAAAAGTGGAAGAAATATTTTTTTAATGTTTTTTAAATAATAGTGAAAACAATAATAGCTAAAAAAATCAACAATCAACTGAATTGACTATTACAATTAACGGATTTCGATAAGATTTATCCAAAAATCAATATTTTAGAGTTTAAATTACACAAATTGATAATAAATGCTTGAAATTACTAAATTGTAATAGAACAAGAGTAATTTTTTCCATTAAACCTTTTTCAATCTATTTTCGTATTTTTAATTGAATTAATTTTATTGTTGGAATATATGTTAATGTTTTAATTTTTTTTAAAGATTTTCAGACCAAACATTTGGGATTATTCATGTGATTTGGATATAGATAATTTTTTTCAAAGTTAGTCAAATAAAAAAAAATTATGTGCAAATTGTATAACAAAGTTTGGTAATTTTACGTGAAAATCTTATCAGAAAAATAAATTAAATACTTATAATGGCATCATATCCTTGGAACAAACCTTAGGCGATCGAGCAGTGTTTTTCATTTTTGAATAATTGAAGGCCAAATGCCCATCTCTATCGAGCTTGATCTCAATTTTTATTATATCCACGGAAATAATAAAGACGTGTTGAATGTATTCCTCAATAATTTCACATGCTTTAATTGAAAGGGGTTGTTTATTTTCACTAATATTCTCGTTTAAAAAAATTAAATTAAATTCTCGTCAAATTTAATTCTTAATTAAGAACCCTGTCAGAATTTTTCTCAATTTAATCAGGCCAACACGCATCCATGTATTGTCGGTAAGGATGATTGAAAAGAACAATTAGAGAACAAAAAAAAAAAAGTGATTTTGCAAGCGGTGGCTGACCCAAATTTACTAATGATACGCAGCCATATCAATTATTTCCCTCATTCGGTTTCAAATTTTTAACATCGACCCCACCAATGGTTGAATTTGAAATGTCTGCAGGGAGGCTTATGAGAATGGGAATTGGTAAACATGTAATTTTAAAAATTTGCAAAATACTTTCTATCAGAATCTTGTACTCAGCCAAACGTGTTAAAATTCAAATCCAGCCAAGCGACGTATGAAAATTGACAATGATATGGATGATTCATGATCACTGATTAAAGCGTGATAAAATATGGATTGAATGAGCAAATCTTACCAATTGAAGGAGGGAGGGGCCGGGATGATGATTGAGGGCACAGTAAATATAATTTAGCACGTGATATATAACAATAATTATAATAAAGAAAATAAAAGGGTGCGTTAAAGTGAAACCTCATGAAATAATGCAATCTGAAAAAAACATACACGAAGCAGCCATGTTAGGTATAACAAGACAGGTTTGGAAAAATTGTTAGAAGTACCAACCATCAGGTCGCAAGGGAGGAGGTCCAAGCAGCCCAAAAAAAGAAAAAAGAAACAGAGAACATGACATTCGTGGGATGGGAACCACAAACATCAAACATCAATTAGTCTGATACAAATTGATTCATTGATTTTAGACCTTTGCAGGTAAGAGAAATTGCGGCGAAAAAAAACATGGTATAAATGTACAAACAAGGAGACCATCTAAATGCGGCTTATGATGGTTTTTGACATTTCTAGGATACAGTCGTATCTTTTTAACCTTTCATGATGGGAGCTGTATGTTGACAAAACCAAACCATACTTCTTATGCTCTATTGATTTATTAGTGCAATTGTCTTGCACGGTGACGAAAGAAAGGAACCAGTTCATGTACAGGGAAAAGGTCTACCATAATCGCGTCTGTAGAATGGGATGAAGATAAGGTAGTTAAACAACGTATGATGATGAAAAGAAAAAATATATAGTATAAACAAAGCTTTGGAGATCTCTAATTATCAATCGGGAACTTGGTCTAAAATTGTAGCTGTTCTTTGCTGATAAGTAGTGTTTGACATGCAATGTTGAAAACATTTATAATGTCAGGATTTTAATCTGCATAATTGATAAAATACTTACGTACTTGTAATATAACAAAGGATCTTCAACTTTATATTGGGGAAAAAAGGAGATGGGCTTTTACTCTTTTACTCACCGAACCCCAAATGGCTTTACTGAACGGGGTTGAGCAGGTCAAGACATTGGATTTCCATTATTCTAATCGTGTAGAAAGAGTAATTAGCAATTTTCAAAAGATACTGGGCCCGAGGAAGGTAATTAGCCTTAACCCTATTGCAAGGCCTTTTCCATGCAAAACTAGGATTTTGACCTTTTTCTTTTGGGCCTCTGAGCTTTCTAAGCTGCCCAAACAAGACTGCACGTCAATTTAAAATAAAAGGGAATACGAAAAAAATAAAACGGAGAAAGAAAATTTCTGGCTTTCAGAGAAAAATTTCCCATCTGTTCTTAGCATTGCCTGGATCCTAAACCACAAACAGCGTTTAGAGTATTTGCGACAACATTGCTCATTTCGAGGTCCCATAGCAAATCATGGCAGTTATCAGCTATATGCTATAATTCCCTGAGTTAAGATCATACCCATGCTCACACCTGATACACAAGGTTATTCGCTCTTTCCACCTGAAACAAAAAAAATTAGCATACAAGCTAGGGTTAGGAGTTAGCAACATAGTGGAGAGCAAGGAAGAAAACTACAAAACCATTTAAAATCAACTCAGCCTAGTTTTCCATTCAAATCAACTCACCTTCCCAAGAACATCTATGATCTAACCAACATGGAGCAGCACACAATAATGGAATCAACCTTTGCTTTTTAAAGTCTCTGAGCACATCTACAAACAAAAAGCAAATCAATACAGATCGTGATATGATATTGCAGAAAATAAAACGAAGAATATAAAGATAGGAATTAGGATACCCCACCTGGCAGGCATAGAGACAACTGAATCCAGCCAGTAGAAAGGCTGTAAGAACAAAATATTTTGGATTAGTCAGCTCAAATGGATCTGCTTAGCAGCATTTCACCATGAAACTGAACTCGCAAGTTGTCCAGGGTCACATGACTTCTATCGACAATTTGAGGCAGCATTATGGTGATCAAATTAAAAAACATCATCAGGGACAAATCCTCTTCGCAGCATTTCATCATGGAATCGAAATGCCTCATTCAAGTTGTCCTGGGTGACATGTCCATTTATCAAAGCTGTGTATGTGGATCTGTCAGGATTTATCCCTTTCTCAATCATTTTTCGTAAGACAAGCTCAGCCTCTTGCATCCTACCCTGCCTACAGAACCCATTCATAACTACATTATATGTAATAATATCAGGCAACAAACCTTCTTTTTCCATCCTATTCATCCAAAGAAAAGCTTTGTCCATATTATCTTCTCTTACAAAACCATTAATAAGGGTGTTATATGAAATGCTATCAGCAGCAACTCCTTTTGCAATCATCCTGCCCAAGAACTCATCAGCTTTGGATGCATCACCTGACCGACAGTAGCCCTTTATAACAGTGTTGCAGGTGACAAGAGTGGGTTTAATACCTTTTTCAATCATCTCATCCCACAATCTAAAGGCCACAGATACATGGCTCGCACTACAATATGCATTTATTAAAATGCCGTACGTAATGTGATTGGGGGAAATCTTCCCAGAGATCATACCATCCCATAACTCATTAGCTTTCTCCATTTCACCCACCTTGCAAAACCCATCAATTAATGTATTGTATGTCACGATATCTGGTTTGATGTTCCTTTGAGTCATTGTCCCAAACAAGCTTAGTGCTTTATTCATATTCCCATCCTTACTATGGCCATGAATAAGTGTGGTGAAAGTGTAGAAATCAGGGAACACACCCCTTTCCACCATCTCAATGAACAGGTTATCCGCATCTGTGAGCATCTTTTCTTTGCACAACCCATTTAATATAGTATTGTATGCAACCACATCCAAAACACAACCCTGTTCTAGCATTTCATCACGTATCTTCAAAGCCTCCAAGATATTGCCATTTTTACAATGACCATCTATAAGAATAGTGTAAATCACATTATCTGGAACCAAACCATATTTCTTCATATCTCTAAAGTACACCAATGCCTTATCAAGATGTCTGTTCCTTGAAAAAACAGCAATAAGGGAACTAAAGCTAACTAAATCAGGAACAACACCTCGGTGTAACATTTCACTGAAAATTTCTTCAGCTTCAAGAAATTTGTCTTTTCTACAGCTCTCAACAAGCAATGTGTTATACGTAGTAGTATCAGGATTCAACCCAATGTTCAGCATCTCAATAAAAATTGCCTTTGCTCTTGCATATCTTCCCTTTTTAAACAAACCATTCATAATAGCATTATATGTAAAAAGCCCGGGTTTCAATCCTTTATCTGCCATAGAGCTCATTACCTCAAAACCTTCTTCTAAAAGTCCTTCACGACAATATGCACCAATTAAAGTATTATAAGTCACCATATCTGCATGAACCCCGTTTCCCTCCATCTCACTTACAAATGACTTAGCATCATCAAATTTATGATCTTTACACAACGCATTGACCATGATGTTTAAAGTATAAACATTCAATTCAATTCCACTTCTAACAACCTCCCTGTACACTTCCCATGCCAATTCAACCCAACCCATCTTCACTAACCCTCCAAGTAGACTATTACAAGCATTTATAGACACTAAACATCCTTTACTCCTCAAAATCCTAAACGCCTCAGTCCCTTCCCTTAACTTCCTAGCTTGCACGTAAGTTCTTATCAGCAAATCAAAAACCAAATTATTAGTCCCACAATTGCTACTCATTAATGACACCAAAGCCTCAACAACCTCAACCCTCGAAACCCCACTTCTCCTAATCATTCTAAGAATCAAAGCTTGTGCATCAGATAATCTTCTACTAAGTACAAAAACATGAACCATTGCACTTAATGAAGTCGATGAGTGCTTAAAGTTTGTACCTTTTAAAGCTACACAATCAATAAATCTTTGACCCAGTTGCAAGTTACCATTACAACGACATAAAACATCAACTATAATTGATGAGTTTAAGCGAAATTGATAGGAAAGCAAAGAATTTACATTACCTTGTTTTAAATTGAAGAGAATTTTCTCCACCAATAAAGAATCAGGCAGTGGTTTTGTTGAAGAAAAGTTTGGTTCTTTATCTGGGTTGGGGGAGGTTTCTAATGTTTGGAGATATCTAAGGTCAAATTTAGAAGTGGGGTTTCGTAGAGAAGTGATAAAGTTAAGTCTTCTGTGGGTTTTGAGGATTGTCAGAGTGTGTGTTTGATGAAGTAACCGATGCGCGGCCATTTTCAGGAAATATGACCGTTGCTAGAGGGCTTCTGTTTTTTTCCCGTTTTTCTTGGTGGGTTAAAGAGAACTAAGAAGAGAGTTTTGTTGTTTGGTTTCCTTAGATTGGAACTGCAAACATGGGAAGATGAAAATCGAGGACGAGGAAGCTAGTTATAAGTGTGTTGATTTGATCCTTTTCTTCTGTTTTATTTGTATTATAGCCCTCAACACGTGACTTATTTTTTATTCTTCTTTTCATTTTTTTTGAAGGTAAATTATTATATACATGTATAAAAACAAACTAAACGAATTGGGCTAATCACTGTATAATTACTGCCCGGTTTTTTTTTAATATTTTTTTTTAGCTTTTTTCAGGCAATTGTAAGCTAATTATGCAAAATTTTACACTTTACCTCTTGATATTTTTTTTGAAATATTATTTTGATTCAAAATTTTATTGTGACACGCTTTGGTCCTTGAATGCAAATAAAAAAAAACCAAAAAATAAAAAAATGGAGGAGAGAGAAAAAACATCGACGAGGCTTATTCCGATTACATTATCTATTGATATTTTATTCAATTTATTTATTTAAGAAAAAAAGAATCTATCTATGATAATTTCAAATTTTCAAACAAATTTGTTTTCTAATATTTATTAAAATAATTTTTAAGGTTTTATACGAGTTTATATTTTTATTTATCCAAAAATCTGTTTTTTTTGGCGAAATTAATTTGGGAGAAAGTTGCAACAACAGGCACTGCTCTCTCTCTCTCTCTCTCTCTCTCTCTCTCTCTCTCTCGCTCTTTTTTTATTTCTAGCTGGACTTGATTCTGCAGACCTGCACTTTGGGCTTGCAGGCCCACAAGCACACGTATTCTTCTATGGGCCACAGGCTAGCCGATACTGGCTTGGTTTTTTTTTTCCTTTCTTTTTATGCAATTTTTTTATTGATTTTGTGCTAAATTTATGAAAAAATAATCTTTTTTTATTATGCAACCTAACGATTAGAAAATATATTTTCTTCAACTTTTCATTTTTTGATTTTTTTAAAATTTAAGATAATCTCTTCGATTTGTCATTTTTTTATGGAATTAATTTCTTAAATTTGTATATAATTTTATTTGTTAAAAAATATGATTTATTTTTCTCTATGTATGAATTCAATGAAAATTTATAATGTAATTATTTTTTATTTTTAAATACATTATTTTGACTTGTACGATAAATTCTTATGATTTTTAAATGAGAGCAAAATATATATATAATATGTTACATAAATTTGAAATTAATAGACTAAAATAAAAACTATCGTATAATTAACTTTCATAAATTTTCATTACATAAAGAAGAAGCAAATAACACATGTAAAATCCTTTTTTATTATTGATTTTGTGCTAAATTTATGAAAAATTAATCCTTTTTTTATCGTGCAACCAAGCGGTTAAAAAATATATCTGCTTCAATTTTTCAATTTTTATTTTTTTCAAAATTTAAGAAATTTTCTTCAATTTGTCTTCTTCTTTTTTTATGGAAACATCTAATTAATTTCTTAATTTTTTATATGATTTTATTTTTAAAAAAATATGATTTATTTTTCTCTATGTATGGATTCAATAAAAACCTAGAATGTAATAATTTTTTATTTTTTTAAATGCATTAATGTGATTTATATGATAAATTCTAATTATTTACACACGCGCACACACACACACACACATACATATATTAAATACAATTTTCATTACATAATTAAAATAATATTTTAAAAGAAGCATACAATGATTCAAGCATAATTTTTAATGCTATATTATTGATTATTTTGTGATTTAATATGTGTAGAAATTAAATGTATGTGCTTTAAAAAAAATTTTCTTATTAGAATTAAATATGAAAAAAAATATATTTATATTTGTTAATTTCTAAATAAGTTTTTTATATTAATTATTGTTTTATTTTATTTTTTATACAACCTTGTGGAAAAGACATTAAGGTTTTTTTTTTTTAAATACTGGATTCAATTTTCTATTTAAATTATTATAGGTTTTTATTTAAAAATCAACATGTACACAATAAAAAATCATATTTTTTTCTCAATTGAAAATTCGTGAAAAATATAAGAAATAATCAATTAAATACAAGATTTTGATTAAAAAATTATTATATTTTATTCTTAATTTTTTTTTAACCTTTGATTCAATATATTTTAGTAGATTTATAATATAATGCGAGGTATCTAATTAAAATAATTTGATTATGTCCGACTCGCAGTTTAGCGTGGACAACGAACTAGTAAAAACTAAACGGTTCAAACATCCTCAAAATTTTAACTCATTTGAAATTGAGTTACTAAATTTCAAAGTTAGTTTTTTAAATTATCAAACTTTTAATTTCTTATGATTTAGTTTGTCTAATGATTTTCAACTATCATTTTCCCCTTTAAAAAATTCATTTTGTGTTTTGAGTTAAAACTTTGCACACACATTGGGAAAAATTCAATCTAATTTCCAGAAAAATCTTAATTTTTTTTTCAAAATTTGAAAGCATATATTTTTTATTTTTTAAATTAAAAATATAAAAATCAGAAAAATAAACAAGCCAAAAATGAAAAATGATCTCAATTTTTTTTAAGATTTTCATATAAATCTCATCGAATGATTATTATCATGAAGATATTTACATGATTGTTGTTTTTTGAGATAAACGTAGAGCTAAAAACTGAAAAATGAGTTAAATCTCAAAAAATTAAAATTTTAGGAATTCTAAAAATCAAATTTGAAGTTCAAGAATTCAATTTTAAATGATTTAAAGTTAGAAAAGTTTTGACTCATTTAGCCATTTATAAATCAGTCTCTTTATTTTTACAAGATGAATTAAATAGTTACTTCACTTTCAAAAATTAATTAATCAGTCATTTAACGAATACTGATCATATTTAATTTAATATTAATTTGTTTAAAAAAAAACATCTTCTTTTTTCTATCAAGCTTTCCATAATATATATTTATTTTTATTTTTTAAATAACAAAAAAAAGAATTTGAAAAAAAGAAATAAAATGGATGAAAAGGACTAATAAATTAGTTTTTCGAAATTAGAAATATCATTTAATTTATTATATATTTAGATCTGCATCAATAGATTTGTATTTAAATTTTGATGTCTATATTATGTGGTATGGTTATGTGCTTTAATATTATTTTAATAAATATTTATTATATTTTATATATGTTCATTTAGAATTTTCGGTTTAGAGAAATGACTTTATTGTTCATAATGTATTTAAAAAAAATGGATTTTTTTGAATTTTTACTAAAAATTGAGAATTTATTTTTATAGACTAAAAAACGAACAAAATTCGATTTGAATTTGAATTTTTTTACGAGTTTGATTAATCAAAAACTAAATTAAAATATTAAAAATCAAAACCGAAAAAACCGAATGCTGACCTTTGACTATAAAAGCTATGCTTGTCAATTGAGTAGATGACTTTGTCATTAATATATTCATTTTTTGATGAGAGAAGGAGGGAAATTTGGTATATAAATATATATATTTCTCTAGTGGAAAAGCAATTTGGGTTTTCATTGATTAAAAGATTATGTTTCATCTATCCAAGCCATGAAGTTTATCACTGATGGGCTACTTGGATGGATCCAGAACTAGATGTTACATCCCTACAAACGGTCACAGTTTGAGAGAAATCTCATAGCTGTCGTTGATGTGGATCGAGGCCGGGCCCTGCTGAATATGTTTCCATCTCAATATCTCAAAATATACATTAGCGACCCATTTCCATGCTTCTTTTGGTAAAACCCTATCTCCCTCTCTTTTTCTTTCTGCAAAAAAAAAAAAAAAAAAAAAAAACTCATTTTTTATTTCTATCTCTGAAAAACCTCTTTCTCTACGCCTCTACGACCTGTATCTCTAGTAACTCTCAGAGAGAGCGCTTCAGGTACATCTCTTTCTGTCAAATTTATATATTTGTGCGTTTCAGTTTATGCTGATGATTCTTGGTTCCTGTTCGGTTGCTGAGAAGATTGAGAAATAGAAAGAAAGTTTTTATTTTTTTATGGAGAAATGGAGTTGAAGTTATAAATCTTGTGATTTACGTTGGTTATTTTTTTGTTTATCGTGACAATTATGCATAACTGTTGAATCGGAATTAGTATAGCATTCTCTATATTAATTTAGTATCTGAAAGAGATTATAATTGTTGGTCCCAATTTAAAGAGCTTAGGTCTTTCTGTCGATTGTTATTTAAATTTTCTCAAGCCGGTTATTGATTTGTCTTTCTTTCGATTGTTATTTAAATCGCTCACTAACCTGCCTACTAACCACACTGATTCTGCCTTATTCAGAATTTCATATACCTTCTGTAATTTAGTAATTCTATTCTACAGATTAAATACTATATCTACACAAAACTGAGATTTGTCTGTTGGTAATAATTGGAATGCGTGTGGATTTATGGTTCAGATATTTTTTGGAACCTTTTAAATTACGTACTACTTATATTCATGCTGCCTGTGTTTTGTGTAGATATAGTATTTAATCTGTAGAACAGAATTATTGCATTACAAAAGGTATATGAAATTCCAAGCAAGGCAAAATCAGTGTGGTTGGTAGGCAGGCTAGTGAGCGATTGTTCGGGGAACCGTTTTGTTGTTTTGCTTCGGAAAATGACAGTGCTTTAACAATTGGGAATTGTAATTTTGCTACTCTTCTCATTTTACTCAAGCATTAAGTTGGATTTCACCTACCCCTCCCCCATTTTTAGGAAAACTGCCTTTTACTCACTGCAACAACCAAACACCATAGCTCACCCCCCCCCCCCCCCCCACAAAGACTTATGCAAGAGGTTTTGCTTCATTGCTTTTGTTTATTGGTAGACTTAAGGTTTCTTAAGTACAGTAACAAGACTAGTATGATTTCGGCAATTACATCAGTACTGACATGATATTAATTGGAGTTTTCCTTTCCCAGCCAGTGTAGAGGCTTTGATTTGTGCTGTATAAATCTGTTACCGCACTTCTGTTTTTTTCCCCCATTTCTTTTAAATTGTTTCATGTTTATTGTCCCTCTTTTGCATTTGATTGTGTATTACACGATCTAATCTTATATGGATGCTTGCGAAAATTTATAGAGGGAATCTTCATTATTTTGATAGAGGATTTATATAGTTTAAAGCTTCAAAATAAATAACAGAAATGGAAATGGTGAGAATAAAAGTTAAAAGCAAATTGAACCACAAAATCAAGCTTACATGTTTCTCATTAAACTGATAGAGAAAATAGGCCACCCTTATTAACCAGAGCAATCTAATAGCTACTGAAAAATAGCACAGACATTAATTGAAGTAGCTAAACGGCCTGTCAATCTCCCTTAGTTCCATGGCCAATCTAATGCTCCCTTCACGTTTGTAGCCTGGACCTTCAAGCTTCATTAGTCTGAAAGTCCCTTGTATCGGGGATGAGAGTCTTGGCAAGGGGATCTTTAATCTGCCCACCAAGACCTCCCCTGTGGAGGTTCCCGGGTCAGATTTGGAGTGGGTTCTAATTACTTCCAAGTACAGAGATCTGCAATCCCAAGGATTTTTAAATGGAATCCTAATCTGCTGCCACCACTCAGGGTCTAGTGAACCACCCACTTCTGGTGTTGTGTATTTATTTCCAGGTTCAACCCAAGACAGAACCTTATAGATCCGATTATCAAGATCAATGTTAAGGCTGTCTATCCCGTTGGGCTGTATGATGGTCAGAATTAAAAAGATGTTGGCGTCATAATAATCAAAGCCATCATATCTAGTTATTCTTCGTCTCTTCCACATGTCGGAATCACAGCTATCGTTGTCAGAATTGCTTCCAGTACTCTCCATTTCAACCTGTTTGCATGAAATTAACCACATAAACTTATAGGGGAGAGAACACTTATAACCCAACTGTGATAGAATTAACCTAATAAACTTATAGGGTGAGAGAACACTTATAACCTACTGTGATAGAATTGTATAAAAAAAAATGCAGAAACTTACTTTGGAGGGTTGGCCTGGACGCCTTTGTTGTTGGCCGTGAAGAGAAATGGTGAGGGGATGAATTGGCCTTCTTGTGTAAGACTATTTAAAATCTAACAAATGTGATGAATATGGAAGGTTGTTAATGAAGGTCTTCCTTGAGAATATCTAATGTCTATAAAGGAAGGTAATGTAAAGATATCCAATTAGACAACGTAGTCTTATTGGAATAATGAACGTATGTGTTTAATGCTATTTACGTGTACATGTGTTGGGGGGAAAACAGAGGAAAAAGATAAAGATTATAGAGCTTTGTATGAGATAAGAATAGAGGGTTACCATATTAAGCGACCGGTACAGTTAATGTGAAGAGCGCAGTATCCTCATTCCAATATGAGGAGTTAGGTGCAACAAGAGCATGGCACAACAAAGTATTTTTACTATGAGCAATGCTATACATACAAACAAATTATACAAAGTTTCCAAACAAACTTATGTGGCAATTGCTCTTTGTATCTTCAAACAATCATTTAATAATTGTGAGACCCTCAATTCACCATTTGTCACTTGCCGCATCTGTTTGTTTGGAGTTTTATTATGATTTGTTTGTATGCGTGGAATTTTCCTTGTACTATTGTATTATATCTATTAAACAATTAGCATAATATGTTATGATTGCATCTTTAATTTTCTGCATCCAATTAACATCATGAGTACAGTATTAGCAACTCAATGTACGGTATCCTAGTCTAATTATTGGTACTAATTGATTAAAATGCATGATTGATTCTGTACTTCAACATTTGATGTTGATGATATGTGACACATGATAGTTCCTTTGAATTTAATTTACCAGCTTGCTGTGAAGAGAGAGTAAGATGGGGAGGAGGATATTGAACGATGCGTTGAGGGCAATAGTGAATGCAGAGAGGAGAAACAAATCTACTGTAGAGTTACGGCCCATTTCTACTGTCATGTCTTCTTTCCTTAAGATTATGAAAGAGCGAGGATATATAAAAAATTTTCATGTTTATGATCCACATAGAGTGGGAAGGATAACTGTTGAATTACAAGGCAGGGTTAATGATTGTCGAGCTCTCACTTACAGGCAAGACATTAAGGCAAAGGATATAGAAGCTTACACATTGCGAACCCTTCCTACACGCCAGTGGGGTTATGTTGTGATCACAACTCCAGATGGTATATTGGATCATGAAGAGGCTATCGGCCGAAATGTGGGAGGTCAGGTTCTTGGTTATTTTCATTAGATGTGTCATGTTTTCAGATTGTGAGAACTTGGAAGCACAAAGAGGTTATGATGTTTCTTGTTTTCTTTTCCTTTTTTTGGAGGGTAAATTAACTTTCAATTGAAGCCCATTTCCCCCTTTTCTTCCAAGTGAAATGAATGAGTCTACTTTTGCTGTATCAAAATAACAGTCAATGGCTCCTTTATCATCTAGTCAAGTTCAAACTTTACTAGACTTGAATGATATCATGGATGTGGCAACACATGTTCTTGAGAGGTTCAGTAAGTTTTTATCCATGAAAAACGAGATTATGAAGTCATGAAAACAGAATAGAAATGACATCATTAGCAGCTCTATTAGCTGCTATATGTTTATGTTTGGATATCCATAAAGGAGTAGTTGTATGCTTTGTTTGTTTGTTTGTTTTTTTCTCTTGGACCTTGGGTAGCAGCTAGTGGCTGGTACATGTTCTGTTGGACACTTGAAGCCTTGTGATTTTGTGGGAGCACTTCAGCCTGATGGTGCAAAGTGTGGGTAGTTTTCTCTTTTATTTAATCCCTCTTGCTCTCTCCAGTTATTAAGTAAAATTCAATTTGCTGTCCCTTTGGGACTATGGGAGTTGGCATGCACACAATTTGTTGTCGGTTGGGACCATGGAAGTTAGCATGCACGCAACTCATGCATTTTGCTGTAGACGTCATTGAAAAAAGAAGAGATTTGTTTTCTTTTATTTTTAATTATTATTATTATTTTTAATGAACGAAATGTTTACTAATATCTGACCATTTTTTCTTCTATGAGCATAACCTGGAAAAGCTCAACCTTAAGTGAGCCAGCTCAAACCAAAATGAATAAACTTTAGGTCCAATACTTAGGAGAGTTCTTTTTTCTTTTTCTTTTTTTTATTTGATGATTATTGGTATTTTTAAACTAGTTTGTGTGTAAGATTATGGATATTTTAAAACTAGTTTGTGTATCAATGGAAATTAAATTTTACTTAATTTTATTATTTAAAAGAATTTAATAAATTTATTCAAGTGCCGGTCTCAATATTTAAATTCAAGAAGTGGAGAAAGAAAAATTTAATGCTTATCTAAATTAATATTCAATTATCATTAATTTGGATATGTTCAAGAAGTATCACTGAGGTAAGGTATTAGAATATAGATGTTTTTGAAAAATCCCGATTTCATAAATTTTTATTGTCGGGCAAGACATTGGCAACAAAATCAGTCTATTTACTTATATATGGAATGCTATTTACTGCTTTTGTGTTGGGAGGGTGGGGGTGGGTGGGTTTGGTTTACATAATAAGATATAAATAATTTGATATAAACTAAATTAGTTATATACAATTTTATAACTTTTTCTACGATATCCTTGTGCAAGTTCATAGTGAGACGTTAAATATAATTTGTGATATTTTATACATTCTGTAGATATATTATAAGAAATCAAAATATGCTGTTTTCCATTTACGCGATGATCTAACTAAAAAAAAGGTAAAAAAAAAAAAAAAAAACCTTCCTACAAATCAAGAAATATAAAATATGAGCATTAGGAAAGATTATGTTATTTTATGCAATAAATCCGAAATTTCAATACCGTGTCTCAAAACAAGAAGGACGCATGCTGAGATGGCAAAATATTATTGGATAACAAACCTCACCCATACGTGTCCCTCTTGAAGATCCAAATACGTAAACAACTTTTACGAGCGGTGTGATTCATTTTGGATTTCTGAAGTACCAAATTAATTGCTGAAAGTGTATACATAACGGCCCGTCTCTGATTACACCATGACAACCCAATAAAAACAAGCCACGTTGCAGGGAAGTATTCCCTTGCAGTTTTTTCTACCAAAATTTCAATTTCATTGGCTGCTAATAAAAATTTTACGTGGCTTTACCTGACAGGTATGTACGATGACGCCTACCAAATTATTTTTATCCTGTCTCTCATTCACTCCACATTGACCTGTCTATTTTGGTAAAACCCTATCTCCCTCTCTCTTTCTTTCTGCAAATATCAAAACAATTTCATTTTTTATTTCTCTCTAAAAAAAAATCCGTCTCTCTCTCTCTCTACGCCTGTTCGATCTGTATCTCTAGTAACTGTTAGAGAGAAAGCCTCTTCAGGTACATCTCTTTCTGTCAATTTTATATACTTGTGTGTTTCAATATAGGCTGATGATTCTTGATTCTGTTTCGTCGCTGAAAAAATTGAGGAATAGAAAGAAAGTTTTTATTTTTTTATGGAGAAAATGGAATTGAAGTTATAAATCTTGCGATTTGCGTTGATTACTTTTCTTTTTGTGTTATCGTGACAATTATGCATGACCGTTGAATCGGGATCAGTATAGCATTTTCTATATTAATTTAGTAACTGAAATACAGTGTAATTGTTTATCCCAATTCTAAAACTTAGGTCCTTCTGTCGATTGTTATTTAAATTTTTTCAGCCTGTTAATGATTTGTTTTCTGATTTTTATTTTCTTGACTTGAATTACAGGGTTTTTTTTATGGTAAAGAGGCAATAGGTTTTCAATTGATCGTTGAAGTTTTGTAGATTAGCGTAATAATCTATCTCCAAAGTGTTTGATTACAATACAAACATGAAGAACTGTGAACGAATTGCGAACATAGCTTTAGCAGGTATTGTAATTTTTCTTACTTTTACGAGCTTGACAGCAGTACTTTGTTGCTCATTGTAGATTGACCTCTTTAATTAGTTTCCCCTTTCATATTGCATTTGGGCTTATCTTATTGCCCTGGGAATTTTTCATAACTTCTGAGTTTGGATGTCAGAAATACTTGGTAGTACGGGAGATGTAGGGTTGAATCTTGTGTTCATCGAGGGGTTTAAAGGACAGGAGACCTACTTTCTCTCAAGTAGTATTGGACTAAGAAAAAGAGAAGGGTTTTTGAACATTATAGTGCTTTGTTTCATGAATCTTATGTTTGTGGTGAAATACCTTTTGTTTGTTTCATTTTGGAAATTTGACTCGATTTTGATACCATGTGCGTGATCTTCAATGCAGGTTTAACATTGGCACCACTTTTTGTGAAAGTAGATCCAAACTTAAATGTGATCTTGACTGCATGCCTGACAGTTTACGTCGGCTGCTATCGATCTGTCAAGCCTACCCCGCCTTCAGTAAGTATAACAACCATTACCATTTATTCTCTTTTCCTTTATTTTTCTTGTTCCACTGATCTAGATTGTGCTTGTCTGAAATTCGTTTGTTTAATCTTGCAGGAGACCATGTCTAATGAACATGCAATGCGCTTTCCCTTTGTGGGGAGTGCTATGCTGTTATCATTATTCTTACTCTTCAAGTTTCTTTCCAAAGATTTGGTTAATGCTGTACTGACCTGTTACTTTTTTGTGCTTGGAATCGTCGCACTTTCGTATGTTCTTTCCGCTTGAACTTTACTTATTATTTGTTCAAAATATCTGCAGTATTATTTTCTTTTTAATGTTTATATCATTCTCATATTTTCTTTTTTACATTTTTTTCAGGGCAACACTATTACCAGCTATAAAACGTTATTTGCCTAAGCGTTGGAATGATGATGTCATTTCCTGGCATTTTCCTTATTTCCGCTGTATGTGAAGTTCTTATGAATCCTCAAGACATTTCAAGTCCACTTACATGATTCTGAAAATTCAAATGATATCTATCATTATTTTACCATGATTATCAAATACTATACCGCTGGGTTGCTTATTTGTGGCAGCTTGGAATTTCAACTGCAAATAAACGCTTTCTGACTTGATACTGAATTCAAGCTATTTGTCATTGCTTAGATTTTCTTTTGATCCTGATTATATCGTGCAAAATAATGTTTTTGCACAGCTTTGGAGATTGAGTTTACGAGATCTCAAATTGTTGCGGCTATTCCTGGAACATTCTTTTGTGCTTGGTATGCTTCCCAGAAGCATTGGCTTGCTAACAATATTTTGGGGTTGGCTTTCTGTATTCAGGTCTGGCATCATTTAGTCAATAGATTTCTCGTTGTTGCTAGTGTCTCTTATTGAAAACGTTTGCTTACTATCCTTTCTTTTAGGTTTCTAATTGCTTTGATAAGTTATTTTCTCTTTTGTAGAATATCCCCTTGGAAATTTCATGCTTTTGCATCATATCAGCGCTCATGTTTTTCACACTAACCAAACTGCATACTGAAAAAAATTATTAATTACAAGCTAGTGTGCCTTATTTTCTTTTGAAGGTTTCAACTTTCCAATTATATATCTTCTGGCCACCATATTGTAATTGCTTAGATCTTTGGGTATGCTTTTTTTTTTCTTTTTCTTTTTTTTTTTAAATTTCAACTTTTTCCCCTGAATACTCTGTATAATCTGAGGCACAAATCCCGTCATGCGAGCTGAATTGTCAAAATAGTTGGTGGATCTTTTAATAGCAGTCATATCTATACTTGTACATATCAACACTTGCTAAGGCCTTATGTATGTGTGCTACGAAATTCCAATGTTCAATAGAAAATAGGATTTTCCTGAGTTGTGTTTTTTTATGAGTTGCGAGATAATTTTCAGCAAAAGTACCTGTGATTGATATAGTGATTAAGTTTGGACTGTTTTTAAGTGATTTGATTTTGTGATACTTTTTTGCAGGGGATTGAAATGCTTTCCCTTGGTTCTTTTAAGACTGGCGCAATTCTCTTGGTTAGTAGCTCGATTGTGGAGTTCACTTTTATATTTTCTGGATAACTATTGCTCATACAACTACAGATGTGGGTAGTTTGTTGCATTAGTCAACTTAACTGATGTCTATATGCAGCTTAAGTTACTGAATGTAGATATTCCCTGAATTTATCTCCTCTGAATAAAGCTGCTTGCATTTTCTTCATGCGTGCTTAGCCCATGTTGTGTTTGACAGAAACAGGATTATTTGGTGTAAGGTTGTGGATAACGTACTTGTGTTGTGCTTTTGGGGCATCTTAATTAAGTATCAATTTTATGTTAATATGGTCTATGTGACTCTAGGCAACCTTGAATGTGAAAGGTCATGCATCATGTGCTCTTAAGGAACATGGCCCACTCTCAACATTAATAGTGTTTCTCTTGTCCATTAAGAGAGCATCTCCTGGACTTATCTTATGATTTTCTTTTGTACAAAAGGTTAAGTTACTGTGTTGTATGTGGTAGTGGGTGGTAATAAACTGTATTTTTCACTCGTTATGGCATTAATTTGCATACAAAAAATAGAGGATTTAAGAAGATGCTTTCAAACCCTAGAACCATGGATGCATCTTCAAGTTTAGTTATTATCATCTCTTACCTTACTAATCAATTTATTTTGATTAATGTATGCTATAAGGTGAAAAAAGAACAATGCTTAAGTTTGAATATCTATCCATGGCTTTAGGATTTGAAAGCTTGTGCTCAAATCCTATGTTGTTCTGCAAAATAATGATAAAGAGAGAGAAGGAAAGTTTTTTATCCTTTTTTCTTGTTATCCTACACTTTAGTAGGCTTTTTATACACAAGATGCTTAAATTAGTGTCTGCGTTGTGCCTCTTAATGGGCCAAAGAAACCCTTTTTCAGGTGAGGGAAAGTACCTTTTTCGGTTAGATTACTTTGACACAACGCTTGATTCTTCCTATTAATTGTTGCCAATAGTAATGTGCCTTTCCTTTTCCTTTTAAAAAGTCCACTATAGCAATAAATAAAATGTTCAGAACAGTTGAATGCATAAAATTCCAAAAGGTGGAAAATTTAACATTTCTTTGTCCTTAACTCCTTGTCATGAGTTTCAAAACAGTGGTTGATTTTATCTTTTATTGCAATGCTATATTATTACTGTTCTTTTGGTTGATGACACTAAGGTGGTTTTCGTGATGCATGATTGCTGTATTAGACCAATGTGCAAGCGAATCTGTTGCCTATACGAATTAGCCCCTGGCATTTTTTTACATTCAGTTAGTTATTCTTCTTATATTTGATCTTTTTATCCTTATTTGTTGCAGGCTGGACTTTTTGTATATGACATTTTCTGGGTTTTCTTCACTCCTGTGATGGTTAGCGTTGCAAAATCTTTTGATGCTCCTATAAAGGTTAGTTTTTGAGCTTATTTATCTTCCATGATATCGAATTTGCCTGTAAAAATGGAGTTTGTTGATATTGAAGCTTTTGATATGGTTTGCTGCAGCAGTCTAATTACATGCCTATTATATTCTTCTTTAGCTTTTGTTCCCCACAGCTGATGCCGCAAGACCATTTTCCATGCTTGGACTGGGTGACATTGTGATTCCTGGTAAGTTGTCAAGTTAGATCTGCCTGATATTTGCTATGATGATAGACAGCTGCATCTGGTCTTTATGATTAGTTGTGAACAATTTTGAACGATATTTTGTGACATTAGGAGGCTCAATTTGTTCCATTCCATAGCTTATCTACTATCAATCTCAATAAGTTAGTTCATTAAATCTTCTTTTGAGGTAAATAATATAATATCAGCAAAACATACAGTTGATGATCTATTGGGTCTTTCCTTTTAAAGAAACCATATTGAGTCTTTGAAGGAAACCTCATAACTGAAAAGATCCCTGTGCAATAGCTGGACAGAGAACCTTACATAATATTTATATCTGAAGCATATATAAAGGCAAACATTGTATCAGAAACTTGAAGACACGGGGTCAAATAGGTTTTGTATTGGTTACTGAAATAGCTGCTAATAGTAAGCACACTATAGAGTGATCATCTAGTTTTAGGTTCTTAAATGGTTGTTATATATGTTTTTTCCCTTTCAGGTATTTTTGTAGCTCTGGCATTGCGATTTGATGTGTCTAGAGGAAAAGGCAGCCAGTATTTTAAGAGTGCTTTTCTTGGATATATAGCTGGTGTGGTCCTTACAATTGTTGTCATGAACTGGTTCCAAGCTGCTCAGGTGACATGACTTGATCCTTTTTGTTGTTTTTCTTCTCCATTTTGTATGTCAGGATTATAATCCCCTGTATTAAACGCCATGCTTTTTAATTGTTACTTTCAGCCTGCACTTTTGTATATTGTACCAGCTGCTATAGGATTCTTAGCTGTTCACGTCATATGGAATGGTGAAGTCAAGCAGGTTTGTTTAGCACCTTCAGATCTTATTTCTGTTGCTTGCTTTGACCATCATTCTATTCTATATTTTTTTAACAAAAAAAACTCTCCTAATTTTTCTTAGTTATACTTGGTTCTCTGATATTTAGACTTCATGTGCAGTTAATGGAGTTTGACGAGTCCAAGACTGCTGCATCATCTCAAGAAGGTAGTGAAACCAGCTCTAGCAAAAAGGTGGAATGATCGGAAAAAAAAACCTCCGAGACTGAAACTCTTGTATCAGGGAAGAAATATGTTTATTTTGAATCAGGACACAAAATCCTGTAACTGCCAACCTTTTTGCTAACTTATCAACCTGCACACCAGTGTAACAGATTTTGGAATTAAGCAAAAAAGCAGGATCATTTTAGACCTTTGTCCTTGTTATTTGATTCTTTTAGCTTCCTTTATTTTACTTGAGAAGCCTTGTTGAGAGGAAAGGCTTGTTTGCAATTTGGTGGTAATCAGATTAACCCTGGGATGAGCTGCTTGCTCTTGCACTTTTGAGGTCCTGTGGTGGTGGACCAAATGTTTTCACCACTAGCTCATGGAGTGATTTGGGAATTGAAGTTATTTGTCCTTGGTTGCTTCTTTGGCTAGTGGGAATAATTTGACGACTCGTTACGAAGGAAAGAAGGGTGGATGGATTAGTTTGGAGGGATGAAAGAGATGTTTGACTTGTTAGGTAGAATGGATGGATGCTTATAATGAATGAAGGATCCATCTCTTCTTTTCGTCTTCACATTTTTTAAATATCCGATTCATCTTTCAGAACTTTCAACATTTTTTTTTCTCCTAAGAGTCATCTTTCGACTGTTCTATTATGCACGGTAACTGGTAAAATTCCTTACCGACAAGGCAACAGCTTGTTGGATAAATCTTTAACCAAAAAAAAAAAATTGCTTAGCGTAGGTATAATAGGCAATTTCCTTAATCACTTGAAGATACCATAAAAATTCTTGAAATAGTATTTTAAGAATCATATATCAAAAAAGAATTATATATCACATAAAAGTCGATATGATTCAGAACAATTAAGATTTGAAAAAGATAGGATTATGAAGTACAGGATACATTTTTTTTTTAACTCTACTGCTGTGATATAAGTAGTATATTTTTCATTCTATTATGTAGTTAAGTATTGCAACACTACAAGTAAATAATTTAATTAATAATATGTAGATACTTGCAGGAGTTATTATGAAATGGGCGGTAAATTTTTGTTTTCTAATAAAGCAAGGTACTTTATCATTTCATAACTGCTATAATTATGTAATAATTAATTAAGCATTTCAAAATAATTAGATAAGCTTTTAGAATGTAATAAGCAAAAATATGTGTTTTGTAGTTCATAACTCTATTAGTAAGGATCGATAAAACTTCAGAATTTATAAAAGTCAAATAGCGTTTTGAAACCGAAATTCTTTATTTTGCGTGTTTGAATATCTTTAATTTCTCATTCTAGGAGTACTCTATTTTCCACCATAAGCGTTTTGAATTTAAAATTCTTGACCTCGTTTAGGGTTGAGAGACAGCAAATTTTAGCCCAACTCGATCCGGCCCACGATTCAACCACGCCTAAACGCAGTAGCAGGATAATAACACGTTTTTATTTTATTTATCTGGTCTCTCATTATAAAATTACTAAGATTTGATTTTCTGGGGAAATAAAAAGATTGGTAGAATTAAGAAACAGGGAAAAAGATAAGCACGAAGAATACAATCAATAACCATCTAAATTGAATCTAATTGAATCGAACAAAACACCAAAAAAAAAAAAAAACGACCAACTTAAAAAATGAAGAAGAAGTTGAATTCTTGAATTTGAACTGAGAATTTAATCAAATGCAAACCCAATGATGCTACAGAGAGCGACATTAAATTAGAGAACTAAGAGAGAGAGACTTGTGAGTTCAATTCCTTTTTTCTCTCTCTCCATCTCTTTCTAACTGTGCCTTTCCATTTCCTACCAAAAACACCCCTCTCTTTCTCTCTCTCCCTCTCAGAAAATTAAATAAGAGAATTGAGTTCTGCACTATCAAAACTTAAGAAATAAAGCCCATTTTGCATTTTCTCTTTTTAGTTTGTTTTCTAGTTTTTTTTTTTTTTTGGTCTGATGGGGTTCTCTTTTTGAGCCAATCAAAGCCATAGAAAGAGAGAATCCCATGAAATTCAACAGCCATGGAAGGTAATATATCCTTCTCTCTCATTCCTTTTCTGTTTCAATCTTATGATCATTTCATACACTTGTTGATTTTTTTCTGGTGGGTTATTAGATTTTTTTTCCAATGGACAACGAGGGTTATTTTGGGATCAGCAACATAACTAACTGTTAGAATTCCCTTTAGGGATGTTTTTAGTTTTTGAGGAAACTGGAACTGTGTGTGAAATGGGATTTTGATTTTGGTTCAAATTACGGGAATTTTTGCTATATGTAATTGAACGTTTCGTTTTCGTTTATGTTGTTATTTTGTCTTGCAAACAAAACATGTCGGCAATTTTTTCAGGTGAAGCAAGATTTTTTTCGTTGTTAATTATCACACATCTTAATTTTTTCATTCTAGTAGTATTTTTTTTTTGTTGGGAATCTTAAGGTTGTATGCCTGTAAGAACGAGTGTTTTGTGTTCGAAATGCTCCTGAGATTTCAGATGGAATGTATGGTTTTTCATCTTTACAAGAAAGATATTGTGAAATATTAACCTTGAATAATGTCTGTGGAAATGGAAAACTTTATATATAAGCCATTTGGGTTACTCTGTGAACACAGAATGAGCGTGTGAATTACGATTGTTTCAAATGTAGTGTGAGAAAGTTAGTTTGAATTACAATTGTTCTGAAAGTAAACATGGTTTGGCTATTTAGTCATGGCTTAAATCCGTGAAATCAGATGCATGTTTTCCCCTCATGAACTCTGAAAACGGCAGCATTTTACCTGTTATGCTTGTTTTGTTAGTTATGGTTCCACCCAATTCTCTTAAATCTACATGCGACCTACTCCCTTTGCTTGGCCAAATTCACTCTAGTCAACTGGGATTCATTATTCGCCATGATTAATCTCATTTATATGCTCTTCTTGGAAACATTGTGCATTTAATATCCTTTGTGATGAGATATTGTGAATGTGGATTTCTACAGCTTACCCGAATAAATAATTATGTTTTCTTGAGTTAAATAGGTGCTGTTACACTTCATACAAATTAGCAAGATTTCTACAGCTTCATTGTTTTGCTTTTGTACCTGATATGTCCCTATTCTTACATCATTGTTTCAACTCAATGGTTTGATTTTCTAGTACAAGCCCAGCAGCAATAGCAAAACTTATATGTGCCATTTGATGTCTTTACTCTTGTTCATTTTTTTATTGTCTTATAAAAAAAAAATCAATGTATAGAATCAAGTGAAGTGCATTCTGAAGAGAATAGGGTTTCTCCTGAGAAGAATTTAAAAAGGACAGTCAAGACACCAGCCCAGGTTGTTGCTTTGGAGAACTTTTATAATGGTACTATTGCTTCTCTCGCTTATTTTATTCAATGAACCCACTGATTTTAGTCATTATGTTCTTGAAGTGATGTTTTTGCTTTTTTACAGAGCACAAATATCCCACAGAGGAAATGAAATCAGAACTTGCAGACCAAATAGGGTTGACAGAGAAGCAAATATCTAGCTGGTTTTGCCACAGAAGGCTAAAAGACAAAAGATTGAAAGATGAAGGATGCACTAATGGACGACAAGATCGGTCTAGCGGTATTATTCAGGATCGAGGGAGTGGATTGAGGCAAGATTCATGTGGCAGTACTAAACAAGGTGATTATAGAAATCTTGATCCAAGGGAAGTTGAAAGCCAGAGACTTAACGGTCAAGATTTTCATACTGCTGATCTAACATATGACCGTACGAGTCGCTATACAGGGAATGTTAGCGGCATTGATAATACATCTTCAGGAAGTAGCTCATCGTTGCAAGATAAGTTTGTTTCTCCAAGAGAGGATCCTTATGATACAGAAGTCTCAAAGTACCTAGCACAGAATGGAGCTGCCATGCCGTTAATTCCCAAGGGTGCTGATAGTTTTGGGTATAAACCATCTGGATATTTGAAAGTGAAGGGCGAAATTGAGAATGCTGCTATTACTGCTGTCAAAATGCAGTTGGGAAGGCATTATAAGGAGGATGGCCCACCTCTAGGTGTTGAATTCCAGCCACTTCCTCCTGGTGCTTTTGCATCCCCAAGTAGAGATACAGTCAATGGTAAGTTCTGATAACCTCTAAGGAATTCCTTGCAATTTCTTCAGGCAGAAGGAGATCCCAAATAAATTTTGCTTTTCTAGTTTATATTCTTTTAAGTTTTCTTTGATTCTCAGTTTTCTGATTAGAGGAAGGTCTTATCATGAGAATATGAGATTTCCATTTATTTGATTTGATGCTTCAGTTGCAGTTCCAAAGAAGATACCTCTTACTTTTTCAAATGCAGCATTACTTACTCCAGTAGCATTTGCATTAAACATAAATTTCTGATGCTGCTAATATCCTATTTGTTTGTGTACCTACTTAGACTTGCAATATACATTATTAAATTCTTCGTTGGAAATGGCTAACCGTGACATTTATGTTTGATGCTGGATGCTGTAGTTATCTTTTGGCTTCCTCTTGATGCCAACTTTCTGCAACTGCTGGAGGAAGCATCGAGTCCTCACTTTTCTCATATTGTTGGCATATATTTCCCTATAGTTTGATAACAATACTCCTTTTTCTTAATTATAACCATGCACACTTGACTCTTGTTTACTTTTATATGCTGTTTCTTGCAAACCGTTTTTGCAGGACCAATCTATGTGGGAGATCTTGCTCGGATGCGCTCTCCTGATGCTTCTGGAGTTCGTAAGCAATCTGCTGTGAGTAGATCTTCTTATAAATTTTGTTGGCCGTATAGTCTAGCAACATATTGATATTATGTTATACATGCTCATTCATCATATTAATCATTATTAGAATGAGGGTTTAACTTTTTTTACCAGTTGCTTTGTCCAATGTAGTGGGATTGAGAGTATTGAGACTTAGTTGAGTTGGGTTATATGGTGCAAACAAAATGGTTGACAGTCAATTTTGACAAATAAAAGCTAATGAAGCTGCAACTAGTTGAAATCTGGGAAAAGTGTTATTTTTGATTTAATGCTGAACTTGATTCTGGAACTGGAGAATTATGTCAATTATAATATGATGGTTGGTATACAAATTAGTTTGAGGTTCAAGTTCTGCAGGTCCGTGCTGGAAGCATTTGTATCCTCCACCTTTCCATTACTTCCAATGAGGTTGCCATAACATGTTTATCACCACTGTGGTTCACTTTACTTTTATTGCCAATATACCACCGACCATGCACCACCAGCAATCATGCTCATAACATGTTTCCTTCCTCATTTTGGGTATGTTCCAAAGGAAAGGTTCAGTTAGACCTTAAAATGTTATGGGACCAGTTTTTTTAAACTTTTTTGTTCTAATGATTTCCCAGACTCCATTCCACCCTCTTCTGTATCTTGCACTTCAAGTGAATCACAATAATCACTCACCGTGTCAGTAGGTGAAAGTTGTATTTCTGAAGCTCTAATGAGAGCTTATAGTCACACCATCAGCACTTCATGGAATCACATGGTGCTCAAATTGCATTTGAATTGGAATGCCATTTTTATAGTAGTTTTCTTACCTCTTTGATACATAATTTCTTATTATATTTGTTTGATACCCTTGCAGAGATATGAAGTATATAGCAGCAAGATGAGTTCTCGTGATTCATATACAGAGGGAACAAATTGTAATCCCGAGCCCTCTGATTCTCAGAACAGAAAATCTCGTCACCATCTAGAACAGAAGTCTACCTATAATGGTTCAAATTCTAATGCTGGTGGGAACTCTGCCATGGATATGCCTGATGATCTTGCCGGGGAAACATCAGCTTATATAAACAAAAGACATTATAGGATGAGCTCTAAGCATGGTTTTGAGGGGAGAAGATCAGATTCTCTTTCAACCCATCTTGGTCTCAGTGGTAAGAGAGTTAATAGCGAAAAGGCAGAAGCTTGGTTGCATGAGTGTGATAATGACAATCCTAAGATAGTTCAAAGGAATGATTACATGTCTAAGCCTTCACAATTGATGCTTGGATCTGGAAAATCTCTTGATACAGAGGAGAGAGGACCGTGTACAATGATGGAAAAGGTTCTCTCATTACTTTACATCTTTTTGCTTGTGTATTGTTGAACAGTTCCATACTAAAATGTTTACTTATTATTGAGTTATACGTTGGGTATGTGTAGGAGGACAAACTTTATGGAGAAATGAAGAGAATGAAAGGCTCTCATGATTCAGTTAGAGTAAAGAGGCGTCCAACAGATGAAACAACTGTGAGTTTATAATGTGGGCAAGTTATGGGAATATTTTGAATGAATACGGCATGTGTTGTATGTACATTCATCAATATAAATTGATTTTGTCACCTCCCCTTTTTGGCTTAATATTGAAGGTTTCAAAAAGATTCAGAGCAGACTTTCCACAGCAAGAACATGTGGCAAAAACATCATTTTCTAAAATGCGTCGAAGAACAAATCTGACTGAAGGGTTGGTAAACATTTCTATATGCAACAATAATTTTATTTATTTATTTATTATTCTTTTTTTTTTTGGTGCACTCTTCTTTATGTTGTCAGTGTAGTGTGTATATGGTGTGCATGTGTTTTCAATTTTGGTGGACTTAAAATCTTTAATGAATCTGAAAATTTCCATAAAAGAGAATTATAATACAGTATCCATGTCTGAGGAAGCATTTAGCTAAGCAAATTTTTAGTTTCCACAGTAAGTTGCTTCATTTCGATGGAAAGAAATAACTGTGTAGGTGGTTAGTGTGGTTTACATCACTATTTCTCCTCTGATGCAGTTGCGGTGGTTCCCATTGTTAAGCATGGGTGCTTTCTGTTCTGTTAGTAATTTTTTGTTTCACCTTTCAAGTGAACTGACATGAATACCTCTCGTTGTCAGGATGGGTAGCACAGATAGGAAACTTGCTACCACTATTTGAAACTATTTTGGGGTCTATGTTCCCATAAAGCCTTCCTTTTGAGGAGTTGGGTGAAAAGAGAGTTAAAGAGTTGGGTGAAAAGGGAGGAGGGAGAAGTGTCAGACAGATTGCTCTTTATTCATGCATCAATGAAGTACTATTATCTATTCAAACATATATAGAAGTGCATTAGAATCTAGAGAACATGGCCATGCCCTTTGCTTTCACTGTACCGTTGTTCACAGACTTGTCATGAATGCTTATTTGAATCATTTTTAGTGCGAAACAGTGGTTAAGCTTGTTTTTATGTATATCTTGGCTTATTGTGAAATAAGACATAAGTGGTCTCTTGTAAGATGCAGAATATTAATCCTCTGATTACAAGATTTCACATTGTTCACCTGTCACATTGAGACTGATTATGTTCGGGGTGAAGTTCGAAGTTCATGAAATGCCAAGTGTCCAGGCTTGTAGAGGAGGATGCCATATGCCTCCTTTGGTTGAGATGCTGACTTGTTAGTTGATCATTGTTTTCAGTTTCACAGATATTTGTGTTCTGAACCCTATGGTTATGTATCTCTGTCTCATTTAGATGATTAATTATCAAAATATTTTTGTACTTCCTCCACTGCCAACATGGTGTTATTCCGCGTTTCTGAATCTTGCCATCAAATTTTCAATTGATGCTACAGAGCTGATAACATTCTTCATACTTTGTGTATACTGCAGGTCTGCCATGGAGAAGCCATCTAGTTTCAGTGAGGATGAAACTGCAGAAACCAGTTCTTCAGCAGAATGAGGGTCTGACAATTGATGGATTTAGATGGTATAATGGGCTCGCGAGATCACCTCCGAAAAAGATGGCGACTACCCATTTACGAGATGAAGATTGTACAACGTTGTACAGTTGAGAGAATGTGTTTCTTTTGTTAGTGATGTTCCCTTGCTACGCTGAATGAAGTGTTAGTTCATTGTGGCAACCAATTGGTTTCGCCTTAGTTTGATGTAGTCAAGTATATACTTTTTAGTTTGTACAAATTTTGTCCTCGATGTTAAAATTCTTTCTTGAGATATTCGTGATTTCTGATTACAAATCAGATTAGGCAGGATCCCTTTAGTAATGGAAGTAGTCCAAAGAATGTTGATGACAGCTTCTGCATTAGCATGCTCGTAGTGCTTTCTTTAAAGCCAAATGATAGCCAGACTTGTAAAGCTGTTTTCAATAGATGATGAAAGGTACTTTCTAGTTTTTATAAAAATGATGCATGGCAATATGGCATGACTTTCTTTTCCCCTACTACAATATGAGGTTTCATGCATATTTATATTTTGTTTTCTCCTGATCTTATTTGGTCAGAAATTTTAAAATATTGAAAGAATAAATTCTACTGCCTCTACTCCGAACTTAAATATATGGTTCTTTTTGACTTTTTACACATATTAAGAAGGTTATTATTATCATGTTATATTAGCTTTTTTATATACATTTTTCAAAAATACAATTTTATTTAGAATTTTATTTGTACAATCGTTTATAAAATAAATGAGATCGTAAAAAGTGACAAGAATTTAACTTCTCCAAAAAGTTATAAGAATCTAAATTCTTTCTACTATTTTTCTCTTTTCTGTGTATTTATTTATTTTTCATCTAGTTACTTTTGAATAATTAATTTGAGGGATATTTTGAATAAATTAACTAGAGGGATAGCCTTGATGGTTAAATAAGTATAGTTAATTTCACGGTGATAATCAGGAAAGATAGACTTTAATATGGTTAACAAAATCTTAATTTATAAGAGAGTCCAAATAACCAAAGGGAAAAAAAAAAACATGGAAAGCACCTTTATTAAGCTTTCCAAGGAATGTAATTATGATTAGTAACAAATCATTAAACCCCCACCAAAAAAAATAAAAATTCTAGTTTAGGAAAAAAAAATACAAAGACAGAATTCTAAAAGTGCTCTATAAACCACACTCTTCGACGTCCATCTGGTATCTGCACAAAGGACAAGTTTTCTTTATTTTCAACCACTTGTAAATGCAGGAAGAATGGAATTTATGCATGCAATCCATAGCCCTAGCTTCCTCTCCAATCTCCATCTCTTCTTGACAAACCCCACAAACCTTTCCTTCTCCATCAATCACTAAACTCTTTAATCCAACAAGCACTGGATCAATTGTTTTCGCCAAAATTCCCGCAAGCTGAACCCTAACCTGAAGTTGAACCTCAGCCAAAACAATGTGAAAATCACGATTTGTAGCAGTTGAACGCTTCCTGGCCAACTGGTGTGTTCTTGCCTCTAACTTCGCAAATTGTAGCTCCTCTTTGTCAAGCCTTCCATCGAAAGCTCTAGGGTCATAAGAGCCATCGAATGTAGAGTAATAACCCCAGTTGCTCAACCTGTTAAGAACCTCAGCTTCTGCTATAGCGATTTGAAGCTCCTCCATTGTACCAGTAATTAATGGGTGTCAAATCCTTCAATATATATCTGTACTTTTCTAGAAAAAGAAGACGACCACAAAGCAAAGGAAGCAGACGAGAACAAAAATTAGTGATGTTCAATAAGAGAATGATGGGAGTATGTTTTCGTATGTATATATATATATATAGAGAGAGAGAGAGGGCAGGGACAAAACGCGGAATCCAAATCTGAGAAGGAAATCCGAAGCAGACAAGGAATTAATTGGATTTTTTGTTTGTTTGTTTTAAAGAGAGAGACATCTTCAAATACTACAAACATGTTATCGGAACGTGGTGTTAAGGTTCCTAATATTGGAGTCGGTGCATGCATCTCTCCTTTTCTACATACGCTATTTTGTTTAGTTTAGGAGTCCAAAGTGGAGTCGGACACGGTGGTGGACTGGCGGGTGTGTATATAAAAAGTGTGTGGTCAAGGCGTGTCTGGATAGAAAAAATAGAAAAATCAAATTATGATCAGTAAGTACAAAAAGAATGCATATATTAATAATAATAATAATAAAAACACTAGATATACAAAGTGTAATAACTTGGTTGAAGTAAATAACTTGGTTGAATTACTAATTGGCACATTGGAATTTAATCATGATTTTGATCTTACTGTATGAATCTATGAATCCATTGATCAGAACCTAGAAATCCATTCAGGATTCCTTTGTGATTGTGCTACAACGCAAAGAAAAAGTGTGCTTCGTAAACTGTCTAGTGCGTGCTAGGAACACAATTGTTGCACCGCACCCTCAACACAAGATGGATGCATGATCATTGGGAAACGAAATGCGTGGTGGGCCTTGTCAAAAAAAAAGACTCAAATTAAACTCACATCTTCAATGAATGATGGATGCATTGATCTCTAAGAGCATGAAAGTCAAAACCCAACATGTCTTCCTGATCTTAATTTCCTGGGCTTCAAATGTTAAGGCCATCTAGAAAAACCTCAAGTGGAAACTTAATTACTCCCTTGTGCCCTAAGCCCATGCATTTTTCTAATTCTGACTGCAAACCCCATTCATTTATTCCGCACGCAAGTGTTTCTTGATACAGCAAGCAGAGAGGCTTTTACTGAAGAATTGTTTAACGTCTTTTGGATTGAGTTTATTTAATTAATGTACGTACATCATTGGATTAACATTGCAATAAATAACTTGTTAATTGCCTAGTCTGTTGTCCTCTTAATGTGAATGTTGATTGCTCTTCTTCTCCCTCAGTTCCATTCACCAAAACCATCAAAACAATATTAACATTAGTTTGCAAGAATCTACCTCATATTGATTTAAAATCCAAATAAACAAAACCAAAAAAGAAAATAAATTCGATAACTTTTCATGATAAAACCTAATTGATCTCTTTATCTTTTTCTTCCAATTCAATTTTTCCAACGGAATGCTTAGATAACTATTGATTTGTCCGTCAATATGACGCTAAGTCGCTAAGTTTGTATCAAATTAAAAAAAAAAAAAACAGATTTGAATATCAATAGTGACTAAAGAACATGATTGTCTTTAGTTATATATATATTGGGGGTATTAAATCTGATATCAATAAAAATTGAATCTTGGTTTTTACTAAATCAAGACAAAGTTTTTATTTCTAAACCACATCCATTAATAGTATATGATTGTTTTCAATAAAGAAAGAAATTGGTCTCTTTATACTTAGACCACATCCTTAACGGTATACGATGGTCTATAATAAATAAAGAAATTCATGAAAACTATAATTTTGAAATAAGAGGATAGATGAGATATCTTGAATGATAATAGTATGTGATGTGGATTGATAGAGAAAATAACTTGGGATTGGTGGGTTTGTGCTTGATGCTCTATGTTTGGGAGAATTGTTAAGAAAATGAATTCTTGTAACTTTGAAATATGGGAAATTGCTACTGGATAAGTTTTATGTTTTTCTTTGTAATATTATGTTTTAGATGTGGTTTTTATGACCGGATGTAGAAACTTGTATAACATAGATAAAATCGAATGGCTATTACTATTTCTGGATAGCTACAGAAGTTTAGCAGTTCTGTAGCATAGAATTACCCAACCAAGGACCTATCTTCGCTTACTTGCTGTCCTTACCTTACCAATTGTGCTACGATTATATTAGCAATTAAGGTAGGACTTTGCTTACAAAGTTCGGTCATGTTAAAATGGGGGCGACTAATTGCCGCTTTAATTGCTTGAAAAAACCACACCAACTTCAAGTGAAAAAAAAAAAAAAAGGGAAAATTCTATATCACATCCAACTTTGAATGCTAGCTAGAATTTCCTTTTTTTTTTTTTTTTGGATAAAGTTGGTTATATACTGGAAATTTAGCTGTTTATTTTTCCAGCAAGGCATCTTGCTTGAACCTGTTGTTCTGGTCCTCACACGATCGTGTCATTATTAGTTAGCACATGATTAAATGTTAGATATGGCTTGACTTCATTAATGGAAATCCTCTAAAAGGTCAATCAATCCTTGTGGTGGGTTTTAGTTTTAGTTCCAGTTGGCCAAAAAGAAGAACCTAATCAATGAAAGCCTATAACCACACGGTTCCTCGTAAAGATCTTAGATCATGCGTGTGCCTGCCTCTCTAGACCTAGAGGGCATGTACATTCAATAATTCTGAAGGAGTCTTTATCGTTTACAGAAGAAAGCCACAGGGGCCAGGCTACCTCTCTATATATATCTGGCAAATTGAGCGATAAAACAAAAAAGGCTAAAGTGAAAAGTACTGTGGATTTTTAACTGGGAGAAGTAGGGTTGTCTCTCAAAAATAGATGGTATACGTTGACATATGAACTTTTAAAAATAGGTTTTAAGTTTTGATTCGCAGATGAAGTCACGGGAAGGAGTAGCCTCCGATTTGAGGTTTGAGAGGGCACTGTTTGCAGCAATGAATGAGGCCAGGGCTTGGCCTTTTTGGTTTTTATGTGGTAGTGGCTGTTGGGCTTGCGTTGATAAGCACGTCATTTCCCACTAAGGTAGGACCAATGTGGAGGAGAAGAAAGAAAGGGGACCATAAATTTCTCTTGACTTGTGTGGCTATTGCTACTTTTCCCAAAAGTGCACCCACAGTTGTGTTGGTCCCAATCAGTAGGGCTTGGAAAGAGAAAAAGGTTGGTAACTCGTGTTAGGGGCATTGTGTAAGTTCAAGCCACTTTGCACATGCTTTTTAACCAGCAGGGATTGGGATATGTCTTTTTTCTTGTGCTACTCTCGTTTGTCAAATTCCCAGTTGAATTGGATCATCTTTGCATGCTCAATTTGTGACTTTTCCAAAATAATGTCAGAACAGTTGGATCTCAACCATTTCGTGTCAACGTAGTCAGATTGTTGCTGAATTTTATGCTTGATGTGTTTGATTATCCATATCCTAAATTTTAAGACAATTGTTGCAAGAAAATGTTTTTCAGTCATTTGACACGGAGGTTCATAGATTTTTTTTTCTCTATTTTAATATAAAAAAATATTTCCAAGTTAATTTTTAGATTAATTTATACTAAATTCTCTAACTGAACGATTTTAAGAACACAACTCTCGTAGTACCAATATGATGTATTTAGAATTTTAAAATTTTAATTTAGAAAAATAAAAAAATTAGCCATCACACTAATTTTTTGAAGTTAAAATCCATGGATTTTTCATGTAAAGAAAAAAAATGTCTTACACGCATTTAAACAGATTAATACCACGTGTTTTGGGTAAGCTAATTAATTGGTTTTCAACCAATGCTTATTTAGTCAATAGCTAGAGAGAAAAATTGCTTATTTGAGTCATAAATATTTTTCCTCGCGCGAGTTCTTCTTGTTTTGTCATTGTTTCTTATTTATTCTTCTCTTCCACTTGATTTTGAAAAATACAGAAACAGACTCTGACTGGGAAAAAAGAATTCAGCCAACAAAGGCCAATTTGAGCATCAGTTGACTAAAAGAGAGGCTCGGTGGTAAATAGGTTGTCCGTCAGGGGGGGAGAGAGAAAGCTTTAAATGTGTTAATTTGAGCATGGAAGGCCGTCTAGGTTTCAAACTGGGAGGAATTTGGTTTTATTGAATAAAAGAGAAAAAGATATGGAAAATAACATGATAATTAGAAATAAAAAAATAATAATCCAAAACAGTTGGAAAGTACTGCTACAGTTGTGAAAAACTACAACCGCCAATGGTAAAACTGTGAGGATAAATTAACATCCACTTTTGCTAAGCATTAGTAGCTAATTAGCATTAATCCAAATGAAAAACGGTTAAAGGAGAAAAAGATATTTCAAATTTACTGTTCAGGTAAAATTCTGCTTGCTAATAAAGCTTTCTGCTTTTTCACTTTTTTAGTCAACAGAATCAGAGTTTTCACTTTCTCAGCCACCAAACAGAAAAGATTATATATATCTCAAAACCAAAAACAGTAATTAATATCATAGCTAAAAGCAATTAGCCAAAAAAAAAAAAAAAACCATAAAAAAGTGTCAAATTAATTTTGGGGGCATAGAAAAGAATTATCCTGCTCCACTTTTTTCCCATTTCTTTATTCTCTCTCCAGTCTTCCCTTCAGCTCCATAAAATTAAATTAAAAACACTACTCCACACTTGAGAGAGGAAAAAAAGAAAGAAAGAAAAGAAAAAGACGAAGCTAAAAGCTTTAGTCTCTCTCTCTCTCTCTTGCACATAGAAACTTCAATTATCAGATCAATATATATATTGTTTTGCTAAATTTTCCCTCACTTTCTCTCTCTCCAAACAGAGACTTAGTTTTATTTTCCAGCTCCGAAATCTCTGGACTTCACTCTTTTATTCTCCTATTTTTGATCAGTTCTTGGTCGAGTATTCACTTCATTTATTATAATTAACTTCAAATTGAAGTTACTGTGAGGTGAAAAAGTTTTGGAGTTCTGAAGCTGAGTGAACGAGTGAGTGGCTCATTGAGTGAGTGATCTCGATGGTCGAAGTGATTGGTTGAGAGTGTGGATTTCTGTTGTTCTTAGGGTTTTGAATTGAATTGGATGGAAGGGTTTGATTTTTTTGAGAATGGTTAATTTGAAATACTAGATTCTTTTTTTTTTTTTTTGGATTTTTATTGTTGGGGATTTACTGTTAAGGAGGGATAGAATGGCTTCGGATCTTAGTAGAACTGGACCAGTTGAAAGAGACATCGAGCAGGTATTTCCTTTAATTTCAATTATTTTATTATTATTTTCATGTTATTGTCTAATTCAGTTAATCTAGATGGTTAAGGAAAATTCATGTAAGTTAATGGTTTAACATTTTTTTTTTTATGAGATTTAGTGAAATGCTGATTGTATCTGGTTGTTATGGAAGATTGTATGTTGACAATTTCTGGGCCGTGGTTAGATAAGGCTTGTCTGCTTTGTTATTTGATTCTAAATGAATTTGCTAGTGTTGAGGAGATAGTTTAGAATCTGGATGGTTAAACATCTGTTGGCTGGAATGGTGGTGTTACTCTAGATTTTTATGTGGAGAAATGCGTTGTTGTTGAAAACTGAATGAAAGATGAAGGGCAAGGTATTGGTGGTGGTGGAGTGAGTAGGAAATTATGAAATGTATGGGTGTTGAAAATAGGAAAGGGAGAAGTCAACGTAAATTATGAGGACATTAATCAGAAGGTGTAATTTGTCGACGTTGAAGGGGAAAATTGAATTTCCTATCTCCAGTCCAATCCTGGCCCCCTTGTAATTTCTGTTTTCAGAAATATAGATATGATCAGGTTATGCGTGAAGTGGAAATCCATCTTCATGAAGGGTAATCCAGGTTGGGGGTCAAATATGTCGATCATCTTTATTCAGGCAATAAAGGGAAAAAAAAAAAAAAACACTCATATCCTGAATGTCTGATGGGGCTTCTTTATTGACTGAGAAGGCAGACTGGCTAGATAGGATCTCTTGCAAAATGAGTTACTACTCCAAGACTTAGATTTGAGATCTTGCCAGATGGTTTGCTGTGCTTTTAGTCTGTCTTTTAAGTTTTGAAAGGATTATGAAATGCTTTTTTGTTTGACATTCAGTTCATTTTCATTCTCCAAACTCATTCAAATCTCTACGAACCTCTTTGAATTTTATTAGCCATTTGAGGGTTTTACCCCTTCGCTTTCATTTAGCATCCTGCTAGTATTAATATGCTTAAGTATATGCTACCAGCCAACATGCTGAACTTGCTTAAGTTAGGTTCTTGAATGATCTTTACAACAGGCCATCACAGCTTTAAAGAAAGGGGCTTACTTGCTCAAGTATGGAAGAAGGGGAAAGCCAAAGTTCTGTCCATTCCGTCTTTCCAATGTAAGTTTGGTCCATGTTTTACTGATATTTATCGCTTAATTTTCTGTTCATGTTTTGAACTGGATCAAGTTACACATGCACTTCTGTTTTCCCCTTCTTCTTTCACTATCATTATTGCATTAGTCTGACAATCAGCTCAACAAAAACTAAACCCCCATTATATTGCATCCCACTTTTGTTATTCTGATAACTGGTGTAAGTATCATGGATTTTGCTCATGCAATGAAATATGTTATATAAGTTAATTTATTTATGGGTTGGGCAGGGGATTAGGTTTTCTTGTAAGGTGCTGGTACATCTTTTTCTTGAACAATTTGATTTTTCTTTTCATTTAGGGATCTCCAAGTATGTACTCATGCATATTGGTCTTTGCAATCTTATCTTTGAAATACATTCTTCCTACTAGAAATTCTAAGTGGTCAAATGTGCATTGCTTTCAGGACGAGTCGGTTTTGATATGGTTCTCTGGGAAAGAGGAGAAACATCTCAGGCTAAGCCATGTATCTAGAATCATATCTGGGCAGCGCACAGTAAGTTCTTGCTACGAAATTATTGTGGGTTACTTAGCTACTCTTCCTTGAATTTGACATTATTAATAGACTGCATCTACATGCTGACAGCTTGTTATAATTTTTAGAGCTACCTATGAATCTAATGTTGTTTCTCCTGCCGCTCTCTCTTTTCTTCTTTTTAAATCCTTTTGGCTTAACTAAAGCATTATTAGCATGTTTAAGGGAACTTTCCAAATGCAATATTTTTTGTTGTCAAGAACTTATCTGGGTTGACATAGAGCTGGCTATTGGCTCTCCAATAATAAACTTTTGCATCTTAAATCCACATAAACAAATGCTCACTCAGCATAATCTTTTTTCTTTTTCTTTTTCTTTTCTTTTTTTTCTTTTTCATTGCTTTTGTCCGTAAAAGGCCAATACCTAGTGCTGGTCCAAAGAAAATGGAGTCCCATTAGCGTGATCTGTAATTGTTCCCAACTTCCTGTGTATCTGCCTGAAATAACTTTCTGAGGTTAAGGCATGCACTCCAGATGGTTCAAGATTTTTGCCATTGCACCAGAGAAGAAGCCCCATTTGCTATGCTTTGCCAAACTAGTGACCATCTTAAGTATTCTCCTTGCTAACTTTCTCCCTACTTAGTGCAACACAGCCAGTCAGCTATCAGGATGCTTTTCAACCAGGATCACCTGTTGTAGTATCATGACAATCCCTTCTTCAAATTTTACTGCCATGCAATTATTTGTGTTAGAATAGTTTGTTTCCAAATTTCACATTTCCCATTATGAATCCATTAAAGAATTTTTCTTTTTGTCTTGTACTGATTAATATGGTCTAATTTTTCCAGCCAATTTTTCAAAGGTATCCACGCCCTGAGAAGGAGTACCAGTCGTTTTCTCTTATCTATAATGATAGGTCACTGGACTTAGTAAGAATTCGTTTCCTGTAGTCATTTACTTCTATTTATAAGTTAATTTCTACTTCGATTTATCCATTTGATTGTTTCCATGACTTGCTGTCATACCAGGTAGGAATAGTTTGAAACGAATTTGTTGTAAATCTGATGACGTGATCTTTGTTAACAGATTTGCAAGGATAAAGATGAAGCTGAGGTATGGTTTAGTGGTTTAAAAGCATTGATTTCACGCAGTCATCAAAGAAAATGGAGAGCAGAATCAAGGAGTGATGGAATTCCATCTGAGGCGAACAGCCCTAGGACATATACTCGCAGAAGCTCCCCTTGAATTCTCCATTTAGTAGTAATGACAGTTTGCAGAAGGTACAGTTCTCTACTTTATATCTCCCCCTGCCCATCCACATTCAACTTGTTGATGACCTTAGGGATTTTCATTACCTTCAATTCAGGATGCAGATCACCTTCGCCTTCACAGTCCATATGAAAGCCCCCCAAAGAATGGTTTGGATAAAGCATTTTCTGATGTGATATTATATGCTGTTCCTCCAAAAGGTTTTTTCCCCTCAGACTCTGCTAGTGGTTCAGTACATTCTTTATCATCTGGAGGCTCGGATAGTGTTCATGGTCATATGAAGGCAATGGCAATGGATGCTTTTAGAGTTAGCCTATCAAGTGCTGTTAGCTCGTCAAGCCAAGGTTCTGGTCATGATGATGGTGATGCATTGGGGGATGTTTTCATTTGGGGTGAAGGAACGGGGGATGGTGTACTAGGTGGTGGAACTCATAGAGTTGGAAGTTTCTTTGGTGTAAAAATTGATTCTTTGTTGCCTAAAGCCCTGGAATCTGCAGTTGTACTTGATGTCCAGAACATTGCGTGTGGTGGACAACATGCAGCCTTAGTGACCAAGCAAGGAGAGATTTTCTCCTGGGGTGAGGAATCTGGGGGCAGGCTTGGGCATGGTGTAGACTCTGATGTTTTGCATCCCAAGCTTATTGATGCCCTCAGTAATACAAATATTGAGCTCGTAGCATGTGGGGAGTACCATACATGTGCTGTAACCCTTTCTGGTGATCTGTACACATGGGGTGATGGAACTTATAATTTTGGTCTTCTAGGACATGGAAACGAAGTAAGTCACTGGGTCCCAAAAAGAGTGAATGGGCCCTTGGAAGGCATACATGTCTCATCCATCTCTTGTGGACCCTGGCACACAGCAGTTGTGACCTCTGCTGGGCAACTGTTTACTTTCGGTGATGGCACATTTGGTGTTCTGGGTCATGGAGATCGAAAAAGCGTTTCATTGCCAAGGGAAGTGGAATCGCTCAAGGGGCTCCGCACTGTCCGAGCTGCCTGTGGTGTTTGGCATACTGCTGCTGTTGTAGAAGTTATGGTTGGAAATTCAAGTTCCAGCAATTGCTCTTCAGGGAAACTGTTTACTTGGGGAGATGGAGATAAAGGCCGACTTGGGCATGGTAACAAGGAAGCAAAGTTGGTTCCTACATGTGTTGCTGCTCTTGTTGAACCCAATTTTTGCCAAGTTGCGTGTGGACATAGTCTGACAGTTGCACTTACAACGTCTGGCCATGTGTATACAATGGGCAGTCCTGTTTATGGACAGTTGGGCAACCCACAAGCTGATGGAAAGCTCCCAATTCGTGTTGAAGGAAAACTCTCAAAGAGTTTTGTTGAGGAGATTGCTTGTGGTGCCTATCATGTTGCAGTTTTAACTTCAAAAACTGAAGTTTACACCTGGGGCAAGGGCGCAAATGGAAGACTAGGTCATGGGGATACAGATGATAGAAATTTTCCATCATTGGTGGAAACCCTGAAAGACAAACAAGTAAAAAGTATTGCTTGTGGTACTAATTTTACTGCAGCTATCTGCCTTCATAAGTGGGTCTCTGGTGTTGACCAGTCTATGTGTTCTGGCTGCCGCCTACCATTTAATTTCAAAAGGAAGCGGCATAATTGTTATAATTGTGGATTAGTTTATTGTCATTCGTGCAGCAGCAAGAAGTCTCTCAAAGCTTCAATGGCACCAAATCCAAACAAACCATACCGTGTCTGTGATAATTGCTATAACAAACTAAGAAAAGCAATTGAGACTGATGCTTCTTCTCAGTCTTCTGTGGGCAGGAGAGGTTGTGTCAATCAAGGGCCGAGCGATTTTATTGATAAAGATGAGAAGTTGGACTCCAGATCTCGTCCACATCTTGCTAGATTTTCATCCATGGAATCCTTGAAGCAAGCAGAAAGCCGATATAAGAGAAACAAAAAACTTGAATTCAATAGCAGCAGGGTTTCACCTGTTCCGAATGGAGGCTCTCACTGGGCAGCCCTTAATATTTCTAAATCTTTTAATCCGATGTTTGGTTCATCCAAGAAGTTTTTTTCTGCTTCTGTTCCTGGATCAAGAATTGTTTCTCGAGCAACATCACCAATATCTAGACGATCTAGCCCCCTCGATCAACAACACCAACACCAACCCTGGGTGGACTTACCTCACCAAAAATTGTCGTAGATGATGCTAAAAGGACAAATGAGAGCCTTAGCCAAGAGGTTATTAAATTAAGAGGGCAGGTATGTACTCTCCTTCCTTTCAATCAACTACCTGTGTAATGTAATCAATTACTCGGACAATTTTCTTCTCTTTTTCCTTGGCAATTTTGGTGAAGCATTCTGAAAGTGTATGAAAGGATAGATGATAAAGGGCATTAGTTTCAGTATATCCTTTTGATTTATGGTTTGTGCTAACCATATGCTCAAGATACTGTTTGAAAACACAAAGGGCAGCATTTTTATTGTCATTCATGCAACAGCCATGACAAAGATCGACTTGGCAGTTTCCTTTATGACTAGACTATCAATTGTTAAATTTTAGCATTTGTATAATTATGATATTTTGGCATTTCAGCCTAAGAGCACCTAAGATTTAAACCTCTGGTACTTCACTGTTTTCGTTTGGTTGGTTGTTTTGGTCTTTCATTATTATACCTTATCAAATTGGTCTATCAGGTGGAGAATCTTTCTCGCAAAGCCCAGCTTCAAGAAGCTGAGCTGGAAAGAACAACCAAACAGCTGAAGGAAGCAATAGCCATTGCAGGAGAAGAGACTGCTAAATGCAAAGCAGCAAAAGAAGTGATCAAGTCACTTACTGCACAAGTAAGATGGATTTCAACTTCGTCAGTATGATTGATTATGGATTGCTTAAACGTTCCTAGATTGTCTTTTTCTTGGTTTACGTTCTCTTGTTCTTTTGCAATCGGGTTGTCTCTTTTCCTAGTTGTACAAACCGAACCTTTCGTTGTAGGATTTCATGGAACTCAACTTTGAACTCGTGAAAATGCAGTTAAATGCTGTTTTGAAAATATCAATTTGGAAAAAAATATTTGCGTGCTTTGCTTTATCTCAAGTAGCATGAAAAAATTGTCTCATGTGCATGCAACCAAGAAGTAGGTTAACAGTGCTCGGTTGGATAGCCACTAATCATGCCCAGTTGTAGCAACTTTATGTTAATGATGTTTTGCTGATGATTAATTTGTTTTATATGCTTAATAGTTAAAAGACATGGCTGAAAGGCTACCTGTGGGAGCGGCCCGAAGCATCAAATCACCTTCCTTTACTTCATTTGGCTCCAGTCCTACATCCAATGATGTTTCTACCATTGACAGTTTGAATGGTCAAATCACTTGCCAAGAGCCAGACACAAATGGATTGCATAACCAGTTGCTTTCTAATGGTTCAAGCACCACCAGTAACCGCAGTGCAGGTCACAACAAACAAGGCCATTTGGAAGCAACAACTAAAAATGGAAGCAGAACCAAAGAAGGTGAATTGCGTCATGAAGCTGAATGGGTTGAGCAAGATGAGCCTGGTGTATATATAACGCTTACCTCCCTACCCGGAGGCGTCAAGGATCTTAAGCGAGTGCGCTTCAGGTGCGTTGTTTTCAAGCCAGTTTGGCAATCCAAATCATACCCAAATTTCTCTGGTCAATTAGATTTTATAGTCAGTGGTTACATGTCCAGGTTCACACTTCTAATAGCATTTGCCCTTGTGCTCTGTTATGTTCTAATTTGGCCATAAAACAGGCTCTTGTTTTCAGCTTCTGCCTTTAATTTGAAAACGACTTTGACAGCAATCTCATCCCACAATTGAGTTTTGGGTAAAGACTGTGATGGAAAGACAACTAGTCTAAGAAAGTTTTGGTCCTATGAACCTTGCATCTTTTTCTTGAATGTGATGTGAAACAAATCTGGAGGTCCCTTCGTGTTTATTTTTTCTTTTTTTGTGCATGTATGTGTTAAAAATAGTAACCATACAGCTGCCCAGTAATTTGTGACATTTGAATTGAATTCTAGAAATGAATCTGGTTATGGTTCCAGTTGTGCAATTTTAAATTTTGATCAAATTTATAAATGCAGTCGGAAGCGGTTCAGTGAGAAACAAGCAGAACAATGGTGGGCAGAAAATAGGGCAAGGGTATATGAACAGTACAATGTGCGTATGATTGACAAGTCAAGTGTTGGTGTTGGGAGTGAGGATATGGCTCATTAGCAGGCGGAAACAATCTCTGTAGATGAAACCTAGATCGTTTTCCAGCTTTGAGCTCCACTTGAAGGATGGGCATCTCCACACTAATTAGATTTGGCTTCCATCCTTCTGATGAGTTTAGAAAAGCAAGTAGCAAGTATTGGTGTAAGAGAGCTCTAGAAAAGTTTGCTTCTGCCTTCCTTTTTTCTTCTTTTATAATTTTTTTTTTTTAACCTCGTATTGATATTTTTTCATGGTTTCCAATTTTTTCCCTATATGTACGTTGCGTGGGGAGTTGAGGTGAGAAATGTAAATTCTTAGTAGGTCGCTGCTCATGTTTAAAGGAAAAAGCAGATGCCATGTAAATTCATAAGAGAACGTACTACAGAAAATTTCTTCTCTCTGGTTCATAAATTCAGCTCAGGTTTGTTGCATTGCAAGCAGTCTTAAATATATAGCTAATGAAATTCTTGGTAATTGATCCTAAATTTGAGTTTGAGCATCTGGTTACACCTAGCTATCCTGCCTTCTGTTTTTTTATTCAACTTCATTGCCTGGACTCCGGTTTAATCCCGGAGCACTCATGTCTGATGCTACACATACTGGGCTCTTGGACACGGTTCTTAACTCCTTGCTATTGCACTTTTTATAACTTAGATAATGTTTGATAAAACTGAAAATTAAGTGCTGAATTTATTAAGTATTGAATTTTAAGTCTGAGTCTATTAAGTATTGAATTTTAAGTGCTGAGTCTATTAAGTATTAAATATGTTAATGACAAGTTGTTTGATATTTATTGAAAATTAAGTACTGAATATAATAAGTCTATTTGAAGATAATATAATATATATAATATTTTTTAAGATTTTAGTTTGAACATATGTATTTGATTATATTACTTTTATTGTTTAAAATTTATTGTTTTTAATTATTTTTTTCTTATTTCATCAAATTAATTTTTGATAGCATTTTATTTGTTAATAAATTTGATTTTTTAATATATGAATTTTGGAATAAAATTTTATAACGTCGATGTTTTATTTTTAAAAAATATATTATTATAATTTATATAATGAATTATTTTTATGCTTTTCAAATGAGTATTTTATTTTTCAAAATATATTATTATAATTTATAAATTCTGATATATATATATATATATATATATATATATATATATATATATATATATATATATAGAGAGAGAGAGAGAGAGAGAGAGAGAGTATGTTTTAGATAGTTTGACTTAATCATATAAGTTAAAAATTTTAATTTATCTGATTAAGTAGATTTTAACTGAACTTAAAGTTTTAATATGAGATCATTTAAATTATCAAATAAGATTTTTATATTAAGTATTATAATTTAATCTTTTAAGCTAATTAATCTTTAAGAGATGTAACTTGAAAGGTTGAGATTTTGGATTGTAGAGATGGTCCTCGGCTACGAGCCCATCTGATGACCACCAATCATCCCTAGGAATCGCCGTCACCCATCTTTCGCTGGTATTAAATGGAGATCATCGTGGAACTTGTTTCCATCTTTCTATTTAAAAGCAAGAAAACTAGAATTTCATATTAATTCCAGGAGAGAGGATGTGCGTGATAGCAAGATCCATAAGAGGGGCTTGCAACACAAGAACGTGAATGGAAGTGGCATCAGTATTTTGTTTTGCCAATTGAGGAGGAAGATGGGCTGGTTGCAACTCATTACTTTCCATATTCAAACACAATAATAACCCCGTAAGTCTCTCTTTCAGAAAAGAAGTGCATCACACGAAGTCAGAATATCCGGTGACCAAACCACTCCTCTTTAAACAAGTGCCCTCATGGCTGATGACAAACCCCTTATAATGACTTAATTACGGTCCACGTCATAGTTTTCAGCAAGAAACAATAAAAATTCAAGAAGAGAGTGAGTTATGCCTACATTTTTTGGTATTGAGCATACCATTAATAGCATTGCAGGCTCAATATTCATTATGTTGTCAATCTTTTCACAAAGAACAGTCTGTCATAAAATTAGGCCAGCCTCACATCAGCTTCAACATATTTTTCTCTACAGAATTTCAGAAGCCAACGTACCTATAACAGCCCATCTAGGTATAACTAGTCACTTGCCTATGCTGTGGATCGAATAAAAAAAAATCGTTTTCAAATTTTAAAATTTTTTTGTTATAATTTTTTATTTAATTAATATTTTTTTAATAATTTTTTGCTTAAAAAAAACATAAATCATTCTTCTTTATAGATTGATTTTAAAATAAAAAAATATAATAATTTTAATTAAAATATTAATCAAGAATTAAAAAAACTTTAAAAATATAATTTTCATAATATTGTATTCTGAAAAATAAATTTATAAAAAAATTAATAAATGAAAAAAATCTTATTTAATACTAATGAGAAGATTAATTTTTAAAATTATCCATAGAATGCTACGAGTAGATAGAGCAAAATCATCTAAAATTTTTATAATTTTTCCATTATTTTATATTTAATTATTACAATTTTTTTGTGTGTGTGTGTGTTTTTCGTAAATTTTTTTGCTTAAAAATATGACTTATTCTTCTTTATGTAAGCATTCTTAAATAAAAACTTGTAATAATTTAAACCTGAAATATTAGTTAAGAATTCAAAAGAAAATACTTTAAAATTATATTTTTTTATAAAATATATCACAATTAATGTATAGACTTGCATTAAAATTAAATAATGAAAAAATAATTTATTCTTGTTTAAGGTTGGTGAGAAGATTATTTTTTTAAAATATATTCATTAGATCCGTATATGTTTATTTAGAAAACAATCAACAAAATTAGCTTAAAAAACTACATTTGAATAATTGGTTGGTTCCTTTAAAAATTTATTTTAATTGTTTTATTACAAATAAGTTTGTATATAATGTTAAAAAAATATTCGTAGAAAATAATTTGTATTGTGTTGGAAAAGGTATAGTTAATTTTTAATAAAATCAACAATTTAGTAGTTTTTTTGTATGTCTTTGACCATACCTAGTTAATCGAGATAAATTATTTGAAATACATTTTTAACCTTTTAGAATAAAATAATTATATATGTATATATGCGCAACTATCATTTAAAAATTCTTAAAATTCATGATATATATTATACTAGTTTATTTTTTAAAAAAGAAAAAACAATCATGTTTTAAAATTTTATTCTAAAATTCAAACATAGAGAAAAATAAATTATATTTATCTATAAATAAAATCTTATATAAAAAATATTAATTAGATGAGAGTTTTCATAAAAAATGATAAATTCAAAAAATAAAATTTAAATGATATGAGTAATATAAGTCGATGTATATGTTAATTTTAAAATATTAAAAGCCGATAAAAACTAAGGATCGAAAAAAATATTGCAACATAAGGGATCAAAAATAGAAAAAAGTGTTAAATTTGCATATTAGTACCTAAAAATACAAAAAAATTGACACACAAAAATTATTTAAATTGTTATCAAGTTAATAGAAATTTTATGCATATGAACAATGAGTGAATAGGAATTTTAGACATATGAATAATTTGGATTCTCGCACTACGCTACGGACCAAACTAAACATATTTATTTCAGTTTGATAATATATATCATGTTATCAGTCAATTAAAATATATTAAATTAAATATAAAAGATAAAATTCGATCTAATTTTTAATTTTTAATCAATATATATATATATATACACACGCTACGGACCAAACTAAACATATTTATTTCATTTTGGTAATATATACTATGTTATCAGATCAATTAAAATATATTAAATTAAATATAAAAGATAAAATTTCATTTAATATTATAATTTTTAATATATGTGTGTGTATGTGTGTGTGTGTGTGTGTGTCCGTGCATGCATGCATACATGTATGTATGTATGTGTGTGTGTGCATGCATGCATGTATATATGTGTTTTGAAGTCAAAAGATATGATTTGTTCTTTATTATGCATCTATTCTTAAACAAAGCCCATAATAAACAAATTTTAATATAAAAATTTTAAAAAACATCTTGATATTTTTTTCATTATATTGCATCGAACAAATAAAGCAACAATTAATATAAAAAACTTATATGAAAATTAACAAATGAAACTTTTTTAATAATGAGAAAATTATTTTTGAAAATATATATTTGATTATATATATTTATTCAAAAAATAAATGAATAATATTAGTATACAAAATTGTATTTGAATTATTAAGCGGTTATTCTAAAATATTATTTTAATTATTTTATTTGGAAAAATCATTTTAAATATGAATAAAACAATAGCAAATAGTTAATATTATGTGTGTAGATGCATAATTGATTTCTAATAAAATCAATGACTCTAATACTATTATTTTTTATATATCATGATCGTACTCAATAGGTGAAAATATAAAAAATAAATTAAAAATTATGTAAAAAAAAACTAAATGATAAAACATATATTGAAGTTAATAGAGTGTAGTAAAGAATATAAAACTGATTTCGATAAAATTTGGTTATGTAAAAACATAAGAAAATAAAATACATATATTCAATTTTTAAATTTTGATTATATAAAAATTAAATAAATAAAAATAGATATTGAAAAAACTTATCCAAATCCATACATAGAAAAAATAAGTCATATTTATTAATAAATAAAATTATAAAAAAGAATAAAAATTAACTTGATGATAATTTTTTTCAAAAAAATCAATTTTATACAGCAAGAGTAGGTTATATTTATTCTAAAATCTAAAAATGTATCGTATAAATATAAAAAATATCATATATATTATATAATCATTAGTTTATGTGGAAAAAAATAACGATTGATTTTTCAAAATTTTAACACCTAATTAAATAAAAAAAGAACATAAATTGATGAAAAAAAAGTAAAGGAAAAAAAGGGTATAAGTAGTGTTATATAATCGTTAACTTGTGTGGAAAAAAATAACAATTGATTTTTTAAAATTTTCACATCTAATTAAATAGAAAATAACATAAATTGATGAAAAAAGCAAAGGAA